GAAGGGTGGGTGCATAAAGTTTTGAGTAAGCACAATTTGGCACACCGCACAGTTCTGTTCTTCAAGCAAGCAAAAGGTTAATTTGTGTGCCTTCTGTAACATTTAAAATACTTTATTTCTAATTATGCACATCTCTTTGCATATGTAAAACAGCATGTGCAGTGTTATATCTTAAAGGACTGGGCCTTGGATCTTTAGATCCAATCCTTGCATGCTGCCTCTGTTCCACATCTGCCTAACTCACATTTGGGACTTTTCTACTGCCTATTGAGGGAGGAACATCACTGGAACCTCCTTAACTGTGGCCCCCTGCTGGCGAAGTTCTCCACCAGTAAAAGAGAAAGCTATTCCTGCTCCTTACTTCTCTAGGACAGCCATCCGAGTGGTTTTGCCCTGCACGCTCCCTTGTTTCCCTTCCCATCATTGCAATGATAAAAGATGTTAACTTTTCTCTTTCATTTGTAAATGATAACAAATAATAATAATGTTTCATCCTGTCACATATACAAACGGTCTTCAAAAAGTTTCCAAACTTTTATTTATTTATATTTATATTTATATTTGTGTGCTGTTGGCATTAAAAAGTTGGTCCAATGCTGGGAAAAATGCATCACAAAAGAAGGTAATGATGTAGAAAAGTGATGTAATTTGTTTTTGAAATTCTTAATAGTGTTTTAAAAGTGCAGAAACATGTTGAAAACCCCTTGTATGTTACATTTACCACATGTGGTTATATAATGAGACAAAAGCATAGTTCAGATTATGTGTAAAAGCATACAGTTGTCATTCTGGACAGAATTAATTCTAGAGACACTTGTGAAATAAGCAGTGCCTTGCATTTTAAACTGTACCGATTCTGTTTCCCTTCTAGCTTGCCCGGTGCCTGCCAGCAAGAGTTCAGGGATACCCATGGAGGCTTGTCTACAGTACACAAGAACATGGAACCAGCTTGAAAACTCTGTATCGTAGATCAACGTCTCTTGATAATCCAGTGCTTCTAGTCATCAAAGATATGGACAATCAGGTTAGGGTCATATGGAATCCAAATGAGTGCATGTGTGTGCGAACATGTGAGTGTTTAAAATATGTCAGAAGAAGTGAGGCGGGAAGGTGACCTACAATGATTTTGACCCTTTCCTGTGTGTATGGAGAGGGTGAATAATTTGAGAGTCTCCCAGTGTGACAACTACCATGTTTCCCCGAAAATAAGACCTATCCTGAAAATAAGACCTAGTACTATTTTTTGGTACTTGCTAAAATATAAGACCTATCCTGAAAATAAGACTTAGCTGTGTTTATTCCCAGGGCCAGTGGGGAACATAAAGAGCCTTTTTAAACTTTATTTTTAAACTTAACTTTAACTTAATGCACTGTGTGGCTGAAACATGCTTATGCGGCTCTGCTCCCTCCGCAGGTGCATTTGGTATCACTCCGCCTGTGACAGGAGCCAGTGCTATGGAGCCACATAAGCCGATGCTTCCTCTATAGCTCCAGCTCCTGTCACAGGCGAAGTGATACCAAATGTACATGTATTCATGCTGTTGTACATGAATAAGTGTGGATTGTTGTACATATTAAAAAATAAAATAAAAAATAAGACCTACCCCGAAAATAAGACCTAGTGTGTTTTTGTGAACCAAAAAAAGAAAAGACAGTGTCTTATTTTCGGGAAAACACTTTATTTACATGGCTCTAGGCTCCTTTTTAAATTCCCTTAGCAGAACAAGCACAGTTTGAAGATGCCATTGCTCTGCTGTCTTAAAATGTTTCTTAAGTGCTGGGATAACTTAGAATATTGATGACCTTTCCATGATAAGAGAAATACTATCTGTCTAGGATGGAATGAATAGGAGTGTTAGAACTTAGTGTATGGATGCTGATAGAAGAATCTGGAGGATTATCACATATGCATAGCATATGGACCTTTTATCCCCTCCTGAACTGTTTTCATATTATGTGTACAGCAATAATATGGGATAGAAGGCATTTTAATGACCAAAATTTGTGGCTATTAAAACAAAACAAATTAAATTTTATTAATTTACAAGTTATAAAAAGTCCTTTCAATTTGGAAGTATCATAACAGACATTTTATTTTGCTAGGTATTTGGGGCATATGCAACACATCCTTTCAGGTTTAGTGACCACTATTATGGCACTGGAGAGACTTTCCTATACACGTTCAATCCTCTTTTCCAGGTATGGTTGTCTTTTCCTTGATCTTTTCCTTGTACAGTGTTTCTGTTTACCCAAAATATTATGAGCAATTGTAAATGCAATTTTACAATAAGATTGAATTGCCCAAAGATAAGGAATTTGAAGGCGTGGTTAAAACTGCTCTTATATCTCCCAGTACCTTTTTCATTGAGCCAAAATAATGGCCTAATGATACTGATACTGGCCTCAGCCTTGTCAGGTTCTGGACGGGAAAATCCCTGAGAGAGTCCTGTGCAAGCCACTCTGAGCATCTTGAAAGATAAGCCAGATACAAATGTTTCACAGTAAATTATCAGTTCAGAGTTTGAATTTTTTGAGGGTGGCCATGTTCCTTTCATAGCAGTTGAGGAGAGCACTGTTCTTGTGGATGGCTCAGTGTGTGTTTTATAGTTCTGGAGTACTATAGCAGCAACAGCAGCCTGTCAGTTTTGAAAACAAGCTATCTTGGTTTGCAAATAAAATTAGAACAGTGAGACAGAAGGGAGAAGTATAATATTACACTGCCAAATGTTCTTCTGCATTTAATACTATTCAGAGCTGGGAGTATGAACTGACACATACACAGTAACAACTGTATGACATCCAAGAACAAAACAAAAATCAGCTGTGTAATAATATTTAATATGTCGTGGTTTAAAAAATGTTGGGGCATCTTTTCAACTTCTTAGTACTCATGGGCACTGAGGTAGAAAAATTTTCCCAAGCAGCATTGAGCAGAAAGTATTATATTAAACACTGAATTGATAAGAAGCTTTCTTAAAATATGCAAGGAACCATATCTATTGTCCACCTGTCATCTTTTTTGTTCCTTGAATGAATTGTTCCCTCCCTGTCAGGTTCAGTATATCTGTGCATGTCTGCTGAGAAATTCATTGAATATATTATAGTTCTAGATAGTACACAGATAAAAATGGTATTTTGGAAAGTTTTCTTTCCCATCATTTCCTCCTAACATGTTGATAGTGTTGCTCATAACATAATCAAAGACAGTTTTCCTACTACAATAGTATCTTTGTTACTAAAACTGTGTGCTTCTCCATTAGGTTTTTAAATGGAGTGGAGAAAACACATATTTTATCAATGGTGATGTAACGTCATTAGAACTCGGAGGAGGAGAGTAAGTTATTTTAATTTATCTTGATATATTTCTTTAATCGCATTGGTGAGAACTGTAGTATGGCATCATTCATTGCTGAAAAGACAAGTTATTTCTTTTTAAAATGGCTTTTTTTTCACTCATCAGAACTGCTCACTAAACAAAAACTGTTCAAATATATGATGCTTGCTTACATGCACATGCAACTGATTATATTGTGGACGAACAAATGGTGCTTTTAGTTAAATAATCCAGACCAAAGGATCAAATGTGTTTCCTTTCAGTCCACTGACATCAGAACCATGCATGCAGCGTGTGTGACCTCCTGTTTGTGTTTCCATATATTTGATATAAAGACTATTATTTGAATGTTTACAAATTCCTTAAAAGAGAAAGAAAAAGAAGAAAAAGTTATCATTGAATATCTGTTTCCAGTTAAAAATTAACAGGCACAATTCAGTCAATGTTTGTAAATCTAATGATACCGCTGGAAAAGAGTTAAATGTGCTTTCAACCATTCGGTTGTATTAAATTGAATGTGTAACTTATTGCTGGTCTTATACCAACATGTTAAAGTTTACATCTGAAAAATTAAAAGTTTTCATCTATTTCTTCTTCTTCCAGTGGCAGGTTTGGTTTATGGCTAGATGCTGATTTGTATCATGGCCGGAGCAACTGTTGCAGCACATTCAATAATGATATCTTGTCCAAAAAAGAAGACTTTGTTGTACAGGATGTGGAAGTATGGACATTTGAGTGACATATTTGCTGCCTTAAAAAAGTTGGACTTGGATTCACTGAGTTCAGTGGATGTTGAAAATCAGAATGTAGACTCATAGTACAATATGCTTTCCCATTGTTGTGGCTTCACAAGAAGATTAAGGCAAAAATTGGAAAGACTACTACATCAATATATATATATACACACACACACATACACATGCACTGTCTTATTCCTGCCCTACCAACGTTCCTACAACATGGATATGACATGTTTATGGAGGACATTTGGGATGTACAGGATTGTTGAAAGCAGTCTCATTATTTTCTGTAAATGTGAAAGAATACTGTGGAAAATCACAGCGCTGTAGAGTACATTCCATGTGTATTTTTATTCAGTGAATGTGAAAACCAAAAAGAGGGGAAAGTTGTGGTACCAAATTCTACAGCTTATAGTGGTGGTTTCCATGACAAAAAAAAGTAGTCATTAAGGATACAGCACTTAGAGGGAGCATTTTTTTAAAAGGGACATATTTATTCTTTGTAAGCTACTTTTTTCTGAAATGTAGGCATGTTTTTCATTTTAATATTTCAAATTTCAGCATTTGCAAGAAAGAATTATGATTAAAGTAGATGTCTTCTGCAGTGGTGATGAATTATTTGATTTCTTAAAGGTTTTTTCTATTTTGCTTTTTTTATTTTGTAAAGAACATTTTTGTTATTTCTAATTATGGCTTTTGACAGAACACATTCTGGATTGAGATAGGAGCATTGTCCATTCCAAATCTCAGATATACCTGTCTGGTTATCTGGTGATATTTGGAGAAAAAGAGTCCTTTTTTAACCATTTATTAAGACATAAATGCCTTTGGAAAGAGCCACATTGTTATGGGGCAGAAAATAAGTTTTAAGTCAAAGTCCTTAAATAAGTTGAAACCTCACTGGAGAACAATATTAGTCTCATGCCAAACTGGCTTAACTGTTTTAAAAACATTCTTCAAAAATATTTTAAACCAGTAACTGACTTCTGCTTTTATAGAAAGGCAATTATTTTTCGGCCTGGTTAAAAAAAATAAGGACATTTACATGTTGGTTGGACCAAGTATTCATTCAGTGATATAATACTTGAAAACACTGGGCCTAAATTTAGTTTTGTAAATTAGGTAAGAAGAATTCAGTTTTGCAAGTGGATTGAAAAAGGTAAAAAAAAAAATTTGGTTATTTGCTTTTCATAAAATACATTGGTTAGAAAAGGGAATGAAAACAATGATATTATTTTCCCCAAAAGCTTATACTATCTTAACTCTTTGGGCCCTTGGCACACCTTTTAGGTATAATGCCTGTTTAGACAGAAGAAGACTGGCGGAGAATGCTGTGATTTCTAGGACTTTTCTGTCTAAAAATTAATAGGATTGCACCCTCAAAAAAGTAAACTAAGTCTACATTCAAGAATGGAAAACATAGCTGTGCTTCTTAAAAACTGTTGGTCAGTTTTCGGTGTCTTTCATTCTTTGGGAGCTTTCACCAAGCACCTGTCTGAACACAAGCTGCAACCTAACATACGCATCTGGTGCTTTCCAGTAGGTGAGTCCTGCTTACCAAGTCAGTGAAATAATTGTGACCAGCCAGAATCAAATCAGCAGAAGAGATCCGACCAGCTAATGAATACTGTGATATGCCTTTACTCCACATCTTATGTTATATGACTCAATTAACTGGACTCAAATTGTGAAGAATATTTCTTTCTAGTCTTATTTTATCTGCAGAAGTAAAAGGGAAACAACAGCTTTCCTTTGAAGGTATCAATGGCTACATATTTATAAAGGTCATAGTGTAAGTTGCAAACATAATACAGTGAAGTGAGAGTTGTTGACAAAACTTTATGTATGTAATTACATGTAACAAGCAGAAACATCTGTTTTGGAGAGTGGATACTGTGGGAAGTACGCTGGTAATCATTGCTTGCTGCAGCATATACTACATAACAGAAATGTACGCATTCATCACATGTGGTGGTATACATGGAACGTATGCACATAACCTCCCTACACAGAAGTAATAACCTTTAGGCAATTCATCATGTGTAGAACAGCCTTCAGACATTTGTTAATGGCACTGAAGCTTTTCACCTCCTCCTGCTAGGTATTCTGGCCATCAGTACTACTCTGACAGATTTTCACTACAACTATGAGCTACTATTAGCATAACATTTTGAACTCATAAAAGATGGTTTTATGATGATGGGACACTCGTGAGTTACAAGGAAAAGGTTTTTGATATTTGAAATATTTCACTACTGTTATTATATTATTCCATTGTCAGAGCATATCTGAAACATTTGTGTTCTAAATGCAAAACAGTGTTGTCCTATCAAGATTCTGTGACCCTTCAAAAAATTGATATTTAATATATGTAATGCAGTGCTGTTGCAACATTTTCAATAAAGGAATTTATGCATTCAGATGTTTTTCTTTTGTCCACTTGATACTTCAAATCTGCCCATTTTCTCTTAATATCCTGAATACATATCTGTCCATGATCACCACCAAGCATTTGAAGACCTTTTACCTACTCCTGAAAAGACTTCATCATTTCCTTCAGCTTTCTTCAAATCCCTCTTAGAAAAACCCACATTTTCCACTAATCCTACGTACAACTCCTTCATTTTCATGTCCTGTAAAACTCCCCTCTGTATTCCATGTTTATTTTTGCCTCCATTTCCCTTCCCTTTCTCCACTGCTTTTCTGGGTTGCATTTTAGATTGTAAACTGGGGACAAGGCTCTGACTTCGCATATGCTGTCAACCCCATACACACTTTTGGTGCTATATGATTAATTTTATCTCACAGGAGTGTGGTATTATAATCTGCAAGTTCTTAGGCAGTGAAAGACATGGAAAATGGATTATTTCTTCAGAACTGACAGCAGAACATTGTTGAACATAGAAGTTGTGCCGCCTGATCCTGCCTCAAGTTACTGAATCTCTTTCCTTGTACTTCCTGATCTAAATCATTAATAAAAATGTTGAAGAGTACTGTTCTCAGGACAGAATCCTATGGCACCCCTTGTCATCTCTCCCCAGTTTGAAAATGTGCCATTGATGAGCACTCTTTGGGTCTGATTTTGCAGTCAATTTAGCCCACTTTTTGCTAGTTTGGTAATCAGGATGTCACGGGGTTATTTGCTAAAGTCTAGACAGATTATGTCCACAGCATTCTCACAGTCAACTTTTGATCTCATCTAGATGCTCTCCTCTGTCAGCAGTACTTGTGTGCATTCCATCCAAGGCAAACAAGATGGGCCTGTCCAGAAAAAAGTAAATAGATCCAAATCCATAATCAGAAATTTACACAAGAATGTAACAGCTGTGCTGATCAGAGCAAAGATTCATGTAGTCCATGAACAGTGGTCAACCAGCCACAGTGGTCCATGGAAAACCCATAAGTAGGACATTAGTACAACAGCACCTTCCAGCCCATGTTTCCAAATCAACTGGTGCCCCAGTATGAATACAAAAGAGATTGACTTGTATCACTCTGCAATGCCCAGAATATGTCTTATTAGCAACAACTGCACTGTGAATTAAAACTGTTAATTACAGGATTGTCACTGTCATACCTTCTGCATTTAAGTTTCTTCTGAACTCACAGTTTACCGTTCCCCACCCCCCACCATGAAGTGGGAAGCTACATAATACATGCTGCATCTGATGAATTTAGTTCTAATATAAGCTTATGCCAAAGTAAACTCATTTTAGGCTATCACAAGGCAAGACTGTTCATGTATTATACAGTATTTATGTAATAAATATAATACAGTGGTACCTTGGCTCATGAACTTAATCTGTTCCAGGACTCTGGTCATGACCCAAATTGGTTGTGAATCAAGTCAAATTTCCCCGTAAGGTTCAATGTAAATAAGGTCAATCCATTCTATAAATATTTTTTTTTAAATCACAAAAATGTGAAGCGGGCGTGTTCAGGGGGAGGTGGGTACGATCGCGGGTGCGCTTGTGGGGGGAGACAGATGCGCTGGGGGGGAAGGTGGGCGCTATCGCGATCATCACCCGATGCGGAGTTCACGACCTGAGGAAATTTTTTTCAGAAATTTCTGTTCGCGACCCAATTTGGTCGTGAACTGAGACGTTTGTGAGCCGAGGTACCACTGTACGTGTTTTCCTGGAAGGATCACAAGGCTGCACACATAATACTAGTCTCCTTCTCCACTTCACAACAACCCTGTTGTGTAGGTTAGGTTGACTTGTCCAAAGTCATCCAGTGAGCTGAGTGAGGACTAGAACCTGGATCACTGGAGTCCCAGTCAAACATCCTAACCGCTACACCACACTGGCTCTTGTTTTTCAGTGACACCATGACTGGCACTTGTTTTGCTAGTACTGCAGCTGGGCCTGAATTTTGGGGCCTAGGTTTGGGGTCCTGCAGCCCAGTCCCTGCCCCACAACCACCCAGAGAGCAGAGATGAGAAAGACAAGTGGCAAACAGGCCAGGTGCCCACACTTGGGTCTAGATGGGCATTCTGGAGCTGGCCAGGAATGACATCTTGCTGCAGCATAGTTTATTTTCAAATCATTTTTATATTGATGGTGGTTGGTCATGCATCCACACTGGTACGAATGCCCACTTTATTATTTTATTAAAAAGATCTTTATTTTCTATAACAAAATAGTAGTAATTTCCAAATAACTGAACTTTGTTTTATTCCTGTAGCAGTCATGATGGTCTGTGATTTCAGAGACTTTAAAATGCGACTCGGCACAGGATCAGAGCAGGTCTTCCTTTAACAAACAGCTTTTATTTTGCTTTCTTGTTCCCCTCTTAACTTATGCAGGTACGCAACTGCAAAGTACAGAATGACCATGGACATAGGGAGAAACGTCCATATCGCATTTCACCACTGAGGGAGGACGGCTGTCTAGGAGGGATGGGCGGTGCTCCTTACCTACACAGACAAAAGTCTTTCGGTTCCCAACATTCACTAGATTAGTCTTCTTCGAATATGCTGAGAGTCGTTCAGATATTTTTAAAAATAATCCTACATGTACAGGCCTGTGCCCTTTAGGGTCCAAAATTACACGGCTGCCCCCTGCTAGCTGAGCTACCGTGTAAAAAGAACGGACATGTGGCTTACAGTACAACAGGTTCTTACGGCCCATCGCAGGCCGGGAACGAGATGCGCATCCTTAACATGCTGCGTTGAATCCAGCGGGGCTTAGTCCGGGACGATCATGCATACCGCAGCAGCTTTTTCTTGATTAAGTCCTCAATCCTAGGTATGTTTAGACGCGGAAAATGAAGTCCTACAATTCCCAGCATCCCCCTGGCTGGCTGAGGGATGCTGGGAGTTGTAGGACTTTATTTTTCCTCCTGCAAGCACGGCATAATTTCCTGCTCTGTTGCAAACTGATAGCAGGGTGGGTGCCGCGTTCAGCGCAGACCAGCCCTCACCGCCGAGCCGCGCCGCGCCGCGCCGAGCCGCACGCTAGGGGCGCCTCCTTGCCTGGCTTTGGGTGGGCTGGGGAAAAGGGGCGAGGGCGGAGGCACCGGGCAGTGCTGCCGGTCGCCCTCTCGCTCCTTCCTCGAGTGCAAACAGAACGAGAGGCCCGTTCGGAGAAGGCGCCGTGATGGCCGGGGAGGAAGGCGGCAGTTCGGGCTCATCTCCTGCTGCGGAGTCAAGCCCTACCAGCGGCACCGCCGGCGCGGCTGGCGGGGAAAGCGGCGCGGCTGGCGGCTACGACGGCAAGTGCATTTTCTGCCGGATCAGCCACGGGGAAGAGACGGGCACCGAGTTGCTGCCTTGTGAGGTGAGGAGGGGGGCGGAGGACGAGAGCCTCCTCAAAGGGGAAGCGTCTGCTAGCGGGGACACTCCCTTGGCCCTGCCGAGCCTCGTCGCTCGCTCGCTTATCGTGCCAGGTCGGGGTCCTCCCTGCCAGCGGTGAGTGCAGCAGCTTTAGGGACCGACTCTCTTGATATCTTACCTGCTGTCAAAAGGTCATTTCTGGCACTATAGGATGAAGCAGGGATGGGAGCGGCTAGGATGCGGCAGCGAAAGGACGGGTCCTGCTAAATGAGCCCGAAGGGTCGTTCAGCCTTCCGCAGCTTGGTACCTTCCAGACCTGTTGTGCTGCAGCAGCCCTCTTTTCCACCCCAGGTGTGTTGAACTGCAACACCCACCACTCCCAGTCAGCATGGCCATGGGAACAGTGGAGTTGTAATCCAACACAGCTGGACAGCCCCAGGTTAACGCTTTGGCATTTATTTTCTGAAATGGCAATCAGGTGCTTGCAGGAAACTTGCAAAAGTGTAAGCTTCTACTACTGTGCCCTCCCTGCAATTCCCTCCACAGAGCTCCTGATGCTAATAGTGGTTGGTTGCCTTGTGAAGACATAGGATACAAACCTATGAAGAAAACAAACCATGGGGATGTTTATTCTGTAGTAAATTCCACTGTCTTCAATGAGGTTTATGCCAAGTAAGAATAGGATTGCAGCCCTAGTCCCTAGTTTATGCCACCACCAGATTCAGTTATGGATAGATTTTTAACATTTCCATCTCTGCCAGTGTTTGGGCTCCCAAACCATCTCAAAATTGAGAGCCAGTGTGGCATAGTGGTTAAGAGCGTGGGACTGAGACTCAGACGACCCGGGTTCTAGTCCCCGCTCAGCCATGGAGCCAACTGGGTGACTTTGGGCCAGTCACAGACTCTCAGCCCAACCTACCTCACAGGGTGGTTGTTGTGGGGATAAGATGGAGGAGGAGATGTAAGCTGCCTTGAGCCCTTTGTAGGAAAAAGGCAGGATATAAACCAAAAAAAAAAAAAATTCTAATAAACTGTAATATTTAATCCCATCAAAAACATCAGATAATGTGGGTTAGTGCCTATATGCCATGTATTTTAAATTATTTTAGGCCTCCTTTAAAGGTAAAACCCTCATGTATATGGTACTTAATTGGTTAATACAATGATAAATATAACTTTCAAAGGGTTGGAAGTTTGGGGGTAAAAAGTGAGTCATTTGTCTCAGCTGTTTATGTGCTAAAACACATACGCCTCACTTTTTCCTCTCTGCTTTTCTCACATCATCCTAATTCTGATTTATGTGTGGTCCACCACACTGCTGCCTTTACACCTCTCTCTGCATCCTTCTGTCAGTCATGTTTATTTCTGCCTTTTCTCCTCCTTGCTAAATTAAGCTGGATAGACATTAAGAGGCCTTTTTATAGGAAGGAAAAACACATTAGTGGGGTTTCTGATGCTTTTGGAAAATTTTCCTGATGGGACTCCAAAATAAAGGACACAACCCTTTCCATGTTTAGACAGAAAAAGTGTCCTGTAGCACCATGGCTAGCTGGGGCATGCTGAGCCTTGTAGGCCTTTTTTTCTTTCTAAACCTTCATAAGATTGTGCTTTAAAACTCGTTAGGCCTTGTGCTGTTTAGTCAGTACATGCTAGTCAATGAAATGGCTGTACCCAAATGAAAAATTCATCCTGTGGAGAAATGATTTAAGGTACACTGTTGCACAGGTGCAGTGTTTGGAATAGGTGGAGGAAAATACATTCATTTTCCTTTGAAGAATCCTTTGGATAGCAGGTTTATAAGACATTGTGTGCCTCCCTACCCTTTAGTGGGGTCTCCTTGATGTGAGAATTATTCAGCCTGGATAAGCTGAAAGAGTTTGTGCTTGGGTCTCAGTATAGGACAAAACCCACATGCTAGACAGTCACAGTGGTTTGAGGAAAGCCATTCCAATACCCTCAGAGGGAAGACCTTGATGACAGTTGGGCAAATATGTAAGGTGTTCAAATATATAAGGCATTCAAATGACTTGTGGAGTACGGGCCTGGACAAATAAGGTTTCCATTGTCTGCCGAGGCCTTGCTTCCCATTGTCCTTATGCTTGATAGGCTTCTACATGCTTCCATACAGAGTTGTCCACATAAGGCAGACCTCAGGCCAGTCAGGCTCTTTTCCCCCCCTATTTGTGTGGAGAAGTTGTAAGCATATGGAGTTCCTTGCATATATGAACCACAGAGAACGTGGTCATCAGATAGGAGTGAGCTTGTGCAATCTGTCCATGGTCTTGGGATACATATGAGGTGTATGTGTGTGCATTATTTCATATCTATTCCACCAGCTGCTGAAGCTCTTTGGGTGGTTTAGAACAGTTTCTAAACAGGACAATAAGACAATAAAAGCATTTTTTCCAAAATACAACATCTGAAATTTAGAAATGTAACAGTTAAAATGATATTTAATACAGAGTAGACTTGTCAGAATACCTGGCCTGCTCCACTGAAACAATAATGTCTTTAAACGACTGTCTTAACCTAGTGCTGACAGGATAACAGATTGGTACCAAGGGGGCCTTAGGAGATCATTCCACAGTTGGCTGCCTTTCTTTGCATTACACTCTCCAAGCCTCCTTCAGGAATACCTGGAGGAAGGCCTTAGATGTTTATCATAGCATCTGGGTATATTGCAGATGGGAGAGCTTCTCAGTCAGGTATTAAAGTCCCATACTATGTAAGGCTTTATAAATTAAAACCGGCACCTTGATAGACAGTTTGGAAGCATATAACTAGCCTATGGATGTGGGCCTGAATTGCCCTTATATGTTCACATTTTCTGATCCAGGTTAAGCTGACTGCCATGGTTTGCACAAGCTGCAGCTTCTGAATGGTCTTCAGTGGTAGAGTGGATTGAAATAAATTAAGAGATCACCAGAGCATTGATTACTGAAACCAGGTGTCCCTGTTCAGACAGGGACATTGCTAGTCCACCAGTCAAAGCTGGTAGAAGGTGTTCTATGTCACAGATGCCATCTGAGTTCCAAATGACAAAGATGGCTTCAGGAAAATCCCCAAGCTGCAAACTTGCTTCTTTAATAGGAGTGTAACCCCATCCAGAAGAGGTTGAACAACCATCAGAAGAACCACCCCTAACAGCATCACAGTTTTGTCTGCACTGAGCATCAGTTTGTTAACAGTAATCCAGGCTACTGTCACAGTCAGATACTTTATCACATCGAAAGCCTTACCTGATGGAATGAAAAGGAGACATAGAGCCACATAGAACTAGCATACTGATGGCAGTACACACCAAAACTCTGGATGATTCAGTGCTTTCATGGAGATGTTGAAGAATATCATGCTGGTGAAACCATGGACCAAGCAATATTGCACAAGCACCACCTGCTGGAGCCAGCCAACTAAAAAGCAACCGAACCACTACAATGTAGTACCTCCCACTTCCAGTTCAAATGGTTCCCTAGAAAGATACCATGGCCAAGAGCATCAAAAGATGCTGCGAGGTACAGGAGTATCAGTAGAATCAAACTCCCCTATCTTTTTCCTGGCATAGGTCCTCATACAGGGTCCTCATACAGTGTGGCCAGAGCTGTTTTTGTGCTAAAACGGGCCTGGACTCCAGCTGAAATGGATCCAGATAATCAGTCTCATATAAGAGTGTGCCTTATCTGAACTCTTTATTGTTAGATTCCTATTTTAGAATGATTACCTGAAAGAGGCTGAAACTGCTTTGCATCATTAACAGAATTGTTCTTAGCTAGGTAGCATTGTTAAGGAGGATGTGCTATGTTTCTGTGCTTTTGATACATACTCCATATACTATTTCTATTTTAGTCTGTTACAGGAAAAAACAACAAAGAACTTTAAGTTATCTTAAACACTTAGGCTGCAATCCTATGCAAACTTAGATGGAAAAAGACCTGCTGGGAATTGTAGGCCTTTTCTTGTCTAAATCTGCATAGGATTCACCTTAACAAGTTTATTCTGGCATAAACCTAGAGGGGAGTAATTTATAAAAGCATATGCTAAAAAAAGTGGCAGCCATTTTTTCCATTAATGCAATGAACTGTCCTTCCACCTTCCAGGGATGTTCAGTGATGTGAAATCATATTTCAAAACCAGCTTCAGTAAAACTGTTTCTTAGATGATCTTCTGTTTGCCAGCAAGTCCATTTCAGTAACAAGTTTTTCCCCTTGCTTTTGGTGTTCCATTAGCATGAAGACTTGGTGTGCTTTAGAGATATCAGACCTGGAGCTCCGCATCATTATTTAGTGGTGCCTAAAAACCACATAGGAAATTGTAAGACTCTAAAGAGTGAGCATATACCATTAGGTAAGCCTGGACTTTACATTCATAATATTGGTACAAAGATAATTAAGTGTATTTTTGGCAGCTTCTTGCATACAAGAATCTGTATGCTTTCTGGCTAGAGCGAGTGTCGACATCCTGAGGCTATAGAACCCAACTTGTACCCCCAAGAACTGTAAGTTTTCCCATACCCTAGTTGCCAGCCAAGGGACAAAAGGTGGAAGGAATAGTCGCTGTGACAAAGGTATTTGCTGGCCTTTGGGGACTGTCCTTGTCTAACATTTTCCACTACCTTCTCCAAGTGCCTCTTATAAATATGATATGACCAATGACATAAAGCGGGAGTGGGCAACCCAGAGGCCTCAAGATATTTCAAATCATAAGCTCCATAATCCTTGTGGACTGGGGCTACTGGGAGTTGTATTCCAAAGCACTTGCAAGCCATTGGAGTGCTTACTCCATTGTAGATTATTGGACTGAAATCTGGCAGATGCAGGTCATAGATACACTTAAAAGCCTTGAGCAGCTCATGATTCCCGTTATACTCTATACATTTGATGCTCCATCTCCTTGATCTTTTAAAATCCTGACTGATGCACTCCTGCCTCGCATCACCTTTAAGTGCTTCTAGTATTTCAAGGACAGTTTTGAGCCTGCCTTTCTTGGCTTACACTTGTATATATTCTGCAATGGAAATTGCTTTTCAGGATGCTAAAGCCTAACAAAACCTTTGCTTGGATGATTGCTTTGACTGTCACCAGCAGCTCAGCCTAGAAAGGAACTGGCAATTCTGACGAGTCTGAGAGCAGTTGCTCTTCCCTGTCGTCATGCCAAAGCAAATAATAGGACTGAAGAACAAAACAGGTTGAGGCATCCATGGCTCACTGGGAGGTGCAGCCCATTGACGGGCTGCAGGGTCTTGGCTTTCGACTTGCCTTGCCATTGCATTGGACCCTCTTGACCCCATCAGCCATATGTTAGTATGGACTTCTGGAGCAGGGAAGACTTAGCATTTAGACCTCTGTGAACGGAAGTTTCCCTGTATCCTTGTGTGGCCCAGGGCCAGAAGTCCACTTTAGTAAGTGGCTGGGTTGGTTGGAGCAGTGCAAAGTCGGGTTGCGGGGTAAAAGCATGACTGCCCATAGCTGTTTCCAACAGAAATGGACCTTGGATGGCCGAAAAGGAATTTTGTTCAACTGGGCCTTGAAAGAAAGAAGGGCTGCTTTAATTTATTTACGTGGGAATTTTCACCATGCCCAGCTGTGTCCTTGCTCAGGTCTCCTGCTGGTGAGCCCACTTTGCCATTCATACTAGGATCAGGCTATGTTTCCAGGGAAAGACTGTTAAGAAATTACATATTTACAGCTGAAATGTTTCTTAGAGCTGGAAATAACTCCTGAGCAAGAAGACCCATTATTTTAGATGTATTCTGAACCAAGTTGTGTTTAGCAAAAACATCTTAAATCAAAAGGGGAGGACTTGCATAAGTTTAAATGAGTTTAGGACTCAGGTGTTGGACTTTAGTACACTGGAAATCTAACTTGAGTTTTATTCTTCCTCCTCCCTACTCCTGACTCCATTTGTGCAGTGGAAAGAATGATGGCAGCCGGAAAGACTATCCTTCAACGGAATAAGTTTACTAACTTGAGTGATATAAGGTATATAAGGAATGGTATAAGTATCTAATTTGCTTATTAAAATAGCACTCATGTAGTTGAGTTGTAAGAAATACAGTTGGAGTTCTTAAGATTTAGCGTAAGGGTGAAGATGGAATTGTCCTTCCTGCAGTTTTTATATGCAGAGAAGTCTCAAACAACTTTTGCAAGCTTCACTCAAAAAGAGCACCAAACACATATTATAGGAAAACCCAGCTCTTGTTGAATATCCTTTCAGAGAGCACACCTGCACCGCAAAGCTAACCTTCTCTGACTGCCTTGTGCTTGCCTGGTCTCCTTAAATGGCCAAGTGGGCAAGCTGCTGGAAGGACAGAGCATTTTGTTCCTCTTCTATAACCAGTAGAGAAGCCAAGAGGGCTGTCACAGGGAGCTCCTTTTGTTGCTCAGCACAGAAATGCAGCATACTGAACTGTTCCTGCCTAGCATCCGATTACTGAGACAGGACTGGGGAACCTGCTCCCCCTGGAGCTGTTAAACACCATTATCCCCAACTATTGGCCATGTCCTAAGCCGGATAGCTTAGAATCCATCAACATTTGGATGGCTACATGCTCCCCACAGAACTTCAGGTCCAGGACCAAATCCATCCCTCTCCCTTCCTCTTGTTCCTTTCCCCAAAACAGAGATGGGCTGTCATTTGTGCCATTATTTACACATTCCAAGGAATGGAAGAGGCTCTCCTAAGGCTTAGTCACTGGTAGGATGAACTTAAGCTAAGCCATGCCAGTATGTTTGCCCTCTCTCTGTTGTCTTGGAACTGAAAGGCAGCCCCCAAGATTCTTTCCAAAAAGGAAGTTGAGCCTGCCCTAGAGCAACTGAGCTCAGCAAAGTCAAATGGCATCAGAGCATCAGCAGAGATAGAAGGAAATGCCAGTGAAAACTATTATGAACAATTTCTGCAAAGTGCTATAACCTGTAGAAAGGCCGGGAGTGAACTTGGCTGTGTGGAATTAGCTGATCATTGACTTAACCCTGCATTAAAAGCTTGTTTGAATAAATGGAATACATAATAGAGAGAAGAAACACTCTGACTGCATTTGCTCTATGCCAGAAAAACAACATTATGTGATATGAGTTCTGTATTATGAAGTGTCTTGTATTCAAGGACTGTATCAATTCATGGGGCTGTAGACGAGCTGACATGGTACTTCAGATACTTAGAGTTCATTGCATTACCAATTACTGCATGGTGGAGCTTTATTTTAAAGCTCTGATTTGTTCATGCTGATTGCTTTTCTCCTCTTTCTCAAGGATGGGTTTTCACTGGCCTCCATTCTGCTCTATATCCCATTTGCATCTTCATGTCCTGGCTCCAGCTAGTCAATTAGGATTCTTGTCCCGAATGGTGTACAGAATTAATTCCTACTGGTTCATTACAGTAAGTATTTCAATGATGGTTGGCAATTACTGCTTCCATAATTCATTAGGAAAGAGTGTTGAACCACATCTTTGTTAATATGAGGCTCTATTATAGTTTATGCTAATGATCAAAGATAATACGAAATATTTCTTACTAAATTTCAAATAGCATTGAGGTGCCATTGTCTTTCCTGTTCCAATCCACTGTGCCTGGCCTATTTCAGATGAGAGCTTCTGGAAAATTGTAACACTTTCTCATTTGTATAACTGCATTCTGTTAGACTGGTACTTGTTATTCAGTCTTGAATTAATGTTGAACCAGTTCTGTTAGTCTGTCAAGATCTATGACCTGTCTAGCTCTTGCTTGACTAACAGGATAATTCGGTACACATTGACTTAAATCTATCTTGCATGTGAGTAAGTGCGGCTTATTCCCAGAAAAGCACATATAAGATTCCAGCCTACATTTAAACCTCCTATAGAGTCTGACAATATCTGCTGTTGGGATTCAGTGGACTTCTATAAAGGTCTAACTGAAAAGAAAGATTATGATTGATTTAAAGAAAGATTAAATCCATTTTAAGATTTAAAAAAATGAGGGTGACAGAGAAGTTGAGATGGTTACTATTTCAGTCCTGATTTCCTGAAGGGTCTGCTTGGAAACTGCTGCTGTAGCTACGCTGCCTTTGCATCTGTGACAGGAAAAAGAGCTTACAACATTCCTCCTGCCTTGGATTTTCCCCACTAGTTTCTGGTAAACTACACAAATTAATCCCTAGGTCTCTCAATAGATGTCCTACTTTTCAAGTAAACTTGCAGAGTTTCAAGGGGACAGTAGGTAATTTCAGGAAAGTACTGACACACTACATCTTTTCTCTGACAGGCTGAGCAGCTGATGGAGCGTCTGAGGGCTGAAAGTGCAACAAGCTGAAAAGAACTTGCGTGTGGCTGCTGATTAGAGGGCAAAATGTAATTGGTACCATATTTTGAGATGACTTTTGAAAACAGATTGATTCTGCTGCTACACAATTGTTTAACTCATTGCTAAACTTAATGCTGTACACTAAATTTCTCAGGCAAATATTTGAATGCAAGAACTGAGCACTTTTCAGGGCATACATACTTACAGATCAGAAATTCAAAAGTACCTGCCCCTTTAAAAAGCAATTAACAAATCCTGTAAAAGATGATTTAATAAAGTTTAATGTATCATCTGGATTTGACTGTTCCTTTGACTGAACAATGCAAGGCCTTTGTACCTATACAATATGTTAATACATTCTTTGGAATTGCAATGCTCGCAGTACCTATGAGGTCTTGGTGCTAGATAACCTAATGCACAAATGCATTTGCCTGTACGCACAAGAAGGGTATTAATTAGCTATTGTGTTCAGAATAGGATTTACATCTGTACTTCTAATGTGAGACATTACACTGTTAGTATGTTGGACTAGGATAAGATTGTTTGAATGTGGATTGTTGTAACTTTTAACTAGTTAAATGCATGTGTTGAGAAATAGCTAGGTGAATTTAATACAGCTTAAAGTACAGCAATGGTTTCTTTAGGCCTGAACTCTAAAGTAGGACAGCAGATGTACAGAGGATAGGAGGATGGTGCTGGCACTAAACTTTTGTCACTTAAATATCACTTTGGCCATTCCGGAAACGTTGAGCATGTGAGGGTGCATTTCATGTTGTGGGAAACTGCTGCTGTGAAGATCTGTCTTGGTCTTAAGCAACATCCATAGCTTAAAGAGCAAGAAAGTGGAGATGCAGTAAGGTTTGGTATAAACTTCTACAGCACATCCTTGTTATCTAATCTGGCTCTATCATAATTCTGCTGCTCAGTGCAGATACCCAGATCTCGTAAGGAAAAAATAAGTTGAACAAGCACTTTCTAAAACTATGCATTTTGGAACCTGCTGCATTACCAATGTTACATCTCATTATTCCTTGGATTATGTAATTACAGTTTTCCATTATATTGGAGTTCAGAGAATGGCCAGATAAAATAACTTTACAGATTTTAGAGTTTTAATCTTAACGTCTTGGTGACAGAGCATGTACTTACATTATACCTTAGGCTGAATGTAAGTTCCTGTTGATTAAATTAATAAAGTAGACGGATTTAATGGGGATGGGGAAAAGTTGTCTTTGTAGTGTGCTGAAATGTTAAAGTAAATGTGTTACAGTATGAACTAAGTATGTATTGTGATGAATTTATGTAACAAAACCACATGAAATGTACTGTTAGCAACTTGAAGCTACTTACCGTTAACAAATAAAAATGGTTATCTATGAATTCCTGTATCTGCATATGATACTGATTATGCAAACTTGTGTTGTCCTTCAGTTTCTTGAGAAAGGTTTTTATGAGCTTGAGTTCTAACTGAACAGCAGCATGATACTACTTCTGTCCTAAGAGCATGTTGCTGAACTTGTACTTGAATGATTATTAAAAAACCTTTTCCATTAAAAGAACATTTTAGCTAGTACATGAAGTTGTACTAGCTTGAAGAGCAGGTTGAAAATAGTTACTTACAGGTGGTTACTCTTTGCCACCTTTATATTTTGAGGCTCATTAGTGGAAAGAACCTTACGTTATAGTGAGAGTGTCATTGATTTCACAGGTAATGCACTTCTTAATCATCCTTTATTCACATCAGTGCTACAAGAACTCTCAGCCTCTAAAAGTGTGAAGATATGTTCACATCAATTCATTATTAATTGGCATTTATAGTTCAAGCATGATGAGTCAACTGAAACACCTCCATTGCCTTTCCACCATATGTATTTTCAGCTCAGTACGCCGTTTAGTCTAAGAATAGCATGTGGCAGTCTTGTAATGAGCCCTTATTGCTTGCAACCTATAGAAAATAGGCTAGAAGAGGCCCTAGAATATGCTTGGGCTGCGGCATAAATTAACTATCAGTATTTCATGTCTGTTCAGCATGTTCCCATCTCCTACCATTTTTCATATACGGTCCTGGTCAGCCAAACTGGTTCATGTTTAAGCTTTTGAAATGTTCCTAAATGTACCATGCAGTAACATTTATTCAAGTAAGGTGATAACAACACCATCATCTTTTCCTTGCCAAAGCATTTCTCCTTCGAAATCAACTAGGCCGTGCTTCCTTGCTCTTAGCAGGACACCCACTACTTTATTGGATATAGTCACATATCTGTCAAAGAGCTGTTTAAATGTTATTCTCACATATCCATCTTGTCCCCTCTTTCCAACACTACGTATCACCAAGCATAATTCTTCTACTTCTCTGCCTATGTGTGAGTGAGCATCTTTTCCTCTCTGTTCAGTTTTGGAGCCTTCAGGAGGCCTGCCATAAGTCGGATCTTCTCTCCTAGTATGTGAGGTCAGTGGCTTCTCGCTACTGAAGGGGTTCCGTCTCTGATAATCAACATGATCTTCTGACCAGCTCTGCCATCCTCGCGTTAGTTCTCCCACAGTGCCATGGTGGGCACTTGCTGCCTTTGTACTGTGCATTTTGCGCTCATCCATTCTCAAGGGACTTGAGAAAAGCAAGGGTCTGAAATCAGCTGTAGAGATAGAAACAGTAATCTGTTTAACCTGTACAGTAGATCAAGGAAGAGATTGACAGTAGTGAATAGCAACCCCATTGTTACAGATTCAAGCCTTAGGATATACTGAAGTTAAGGGTGCAATCCTACAACTACCAGCATATTGCATGTCTGGATGGGGAATACCAAGGGATGTAGGACTTTTGTCTGTCTAACCATGCATAGGATTGTGCCCTAAGAGTTTTCACTTAAATCCAAGATAATAGAAGATTTGTGAGTTAATTACAAATGTCATACTCGCCTTTTCTTCCTAATAGCAATTACTCATAACAGTGTTTGATCTCCCAAGTCCATTCTTCTATTTTAATTCTGTACACAGAAAAACAAGGTATATTATCCCGCCTCACTGCCTTGCCATAAACAGAACACAAAGGGTGCCTCTGTCTGGTGGTGAAGACCAAATGACCTCACTCCATTAGGGGGTAACTGTCAATTGCTATCTTTGTATTTTATGGGTTTGCCAGAGTGCCTCCCTAACCCTGTAAGTTCACACATGTAACCTTTTTGTTTACTTAACTTGGTCAGCCTGTTCAAGGTAACTTTAGAAGACTTGTCAAAGGCATCTAGAGTGAAATGTAACTTTTCTTTATAGTGTTGTGACCTGTATCCAATCACTTTCCTATACATATCAAAGTATCCAATCACCTTCCTGTGTATTGTATTCACTCCCCTTTTGTGTATTCTATATAGCCCTAAGAAAATTAACATGGGGGTGTTCCTATCTTAGGCACCCATGGATCCATGCATTCAATTGTAAATAAACCTGTTTGCCCTGACATGAAACTGATTCCGAGCCTATATTGCAGATCGGTGTGACAATTCTATGTTATAATAAAGTGAAAAAGAAAACAGTAGATCAACCTGCATTTGTGTTTAGACAAATTTATTGTCTTAGATTTCTCCACCCCCATAACCTTTGGAAGAGCTGTCAAATTGCAACCCAGTCCTTTTGGGCATGCCTAGAAAAATCCACTCCATATCAGAGAACTTGCTCAAATGGGTAGGATGAGGTGGATGCCATCCCACTTCCTGGTAGACTTATAAACACCCTACATTTTACGTACATTTAACTGAGTACACTTTTCCTCCCCACTTCAGACACTGACCTGCTCCCAAATTAGTATAAATGGGTTACAGTTCAATCTTACTTTGAAAATAACCCTATTATATTCAATAGGGTTGCTAAGTGTGTATGTATAAAGCACATAAAATATATTTTATATTTAAAGCACATAAAATATATTTTATATTTAAGTATAAAATATTTGTGTTTCAGAACACACCAGATACGCAAGCCTGTTTTGTTGCAATAGTCTAACATGGGTCAATCATCATAATCTATTGCAGCAAAACCCCAACAGTCTTCCAGTATTTTAAAAACTAAGAAATTTATTCTAGCGTAAGTTCTCATGGACTATTGCCCATTTCATCACATGCCTGTAGCGCTATAGAGTTTCAGGCGTATGCGCAATACAGATGGGGCAAAGTGGGGGTAGAACTGTAAACAGCACAGTCAGAAGGGAATTGAAGGTGCAATCCTATGCTGAAAGTTTTAGGGCACCTTTTCTGTATGAGCATGCATAGCATTGCATCCTAATTGCAGAAAATAGACTGACAAAGATCATTAAATGTTTCGAGGGGTTATGCTGATTTCTTGCAATGTGCCCTTGGTGAAATAGCGGCATTGATTTACTTACCGGTCTTGCAGTAGCGTCTCTTCTTGGTAAGTGAAATCCTGGTTTCCACCTTTTGCAGCACACCAAAGCTTATGCTTGGCCTTGGCCAGTTTGATGCGGCAAGCAGCTCACTTGCTTCCAGATACTGTACACTTATCCAATCAGAATAGCGTGCCTTTCTCACCCTTTCAAAAGGGCGGCGACTTCTTTCCACAGCTCAGTGATTTTTAAGGTGGAAAGAACGGAAAGATCCTCGTTGTGGTCGCTGGGGATTATCTACAGAGAATATTCCATTAAGTGTAAAACAACTGAAAATGAAAAGTGACTTCCTTAATAGCGTCTGAGTGCAGCTGATCATAAATGTTCTCTTTTAACATGTAAAAATTAATAAGCAGACAAGACGAGCTTAACTGGTATATGCTTTAACAGCAGATGTCATCAAACTCCTTGTAAAAGTGTCCCAGCTTTCCTGTGGTGCAAATTCAAAGAGCGTGAGCGAATGGAAGGGCTCAGAAGATTTGTAAAATTACTTTTACAAGGGAAAATTACTTAGCATAAAAAAATCTCATAATGCAGTATTTTTTTTAGCTTTTAATATCATTGTACACAAACAACAACCAGTATAAATAGGAAGATTTCAGAACAGGATCCTACAAGCGTTTGTTACCTACCAAAACTGGTTAACAAACTACGCAGAAATAAGTGTCATTTCATATTCCCAACCCGCTTTGAACCAATATGCAACCAATACAGGCTTCCGTGGCGTGTTGCATCAAAATCGGTCCTCCGAGCTCAGCAGGGCTGCCTCCTACAAGCACTAGCTGAGTTGATCTGCCTTAGAGGCCAGTCCCTAAAGCTCATCCATGTGAAAACCTCTTAGAATGCCTCGCTCACAGCTTACTACGAGTAAGCCTACTTAGGAAGAGCGCGCTGCTAACTTTGCCGAAAAAATGGCATCACGGAAAGGGCAACCGCACCGTTAAACTTTGCAGCAGCAATACGAGGAAAGCCTGCCTTGTGCAGCTTCCGTTTCTGCCCCGCACTTCCCGGCGCCTGTGCTATGGCCCCTTCTCATCATTTCCTCCTTTCCCCGCGCGCATGCGGGCGTAGAAAGAGCCGGAGCCGGAGCGATGGCGCTGCAGAGCGCGGGGCTTACGCGCTATTTGCTGCTCCTGGCGCAGGACAACTTGGCATTTCGGCTGCCGGTGAGTTGCACTTCCCGCGTGCGGCAGTCGCGTCCCCACGTACGCGCTCCCACGGCTGCGGCTGCAGTGGGGACGCTGGCGGACTCAGCCGCATTCGCGCCGCATTTATTCCCCGACTGTCCCGCATGGGAGCATTTTTCTCTTTTGTCTCTTGAGAGGGAAGGAGAAAGAGTCAAGCGGAGCCGGCTGACATCATGTCGCCTTTAGGAGGCTCCTATGGGCTGTGTTGTATTGACTACGGGACGCGTCCACGGCTCTGGGTCTGCTTCACTTAAGGGGTTTCACCTTTTTCATTGCTAGAACTCCCAAGTCCTGTCAGCCACACAGGCTGATGCAAAAGGCATACAATTAGACTTCAAGCATCCAGAGCCAGAACTTTGCACTGAGTACTTGATCTAAGTGGAGCTCTTACACAAAGTCCACTCTTGGCTGTCCCCAACGTTTCAACAGGTTGCAGAGGGGCAGCAAACTTGGTGTAAGTCTGTTGCAAAAAACAACAAAACTACCAACCAAGAGTTTTCTGGTGCTTTAAAAACGCATCTATTACGGCATAAGTTTTTGGGAGTGCTTGCATGGGATGAACTGGATTGTATCCCGAAAAGCTTGATAAATTTGTTATCCTTTGAGTTTTTTCAAGGAGTTTTGTTATCCTTGTATCATTTCAGGGTATAATCTAAGATGACGGGGGCGGAGTAAGGTGACCCGATGAAAATGTGGACAGTGTTTCTATCTGGTTAACAGTTGCTTAGAAATTTTGCATCAGAGAAGGTGCACCTGCAGGATTCCTGTAATCTGCACTGGGCCACTTTTTGGGGGGAATTATCTTCCTACTTTTGCTGAACAAATAGTAAGAAAGCAGATGTGCTGCAAATCACCCAAAGTACTGAATAAGTGGCAACATTGGTCTCATCGTAAAAAAAAAAAGAGAGAAAAAATACAGCAGATGTAACATTTTAAGGAATAACCTAAAATAGATATTTTATCCTCAAACAATTTAAATGTATTTGTCTCATAATCTCTTTTCCTAGGAAATAGTATCTTTGGTTTCACTCTGTGGTGGACGATTAAAAAATGAACAGGAACTGAGACCGAATGTAAGTTGAAATCCTCAGCTCTTGTAAAGTTTAAATCAGATGGTCTACTGATATTTATATTCTAGAGCAAGGCTTAAATATTAGTTGCATCTATAAATACTTAAGATGGAAGCAGACCAAATGTTCTAGATACATTGTGGATAATATTGGTATAATATTTAATATTAGAGTGTAGAGTCATTTTATTAAACTTATTTGTAAAATGGAATCCAAAAGCAAAGGCATATTCACTAGAAATACTGAAAATTGAATTGTAGATTGTCTTGTGGTTCTTGTTTTTCTGTTGTGTGTTAATTATCACTGCTCAGCTGGTAGCTGATAGACTTGAACAAGGAAAACCACCTTTACTGATCAATTATCATTCATCATCATCACCTGATGTTTTGAGAAAGCAGATAGGGTGGGTCATAAAAAGATGCTGCATTGTTTAGAATGTCCTGTTTTCTGTGCAGGCTGGTATTTTGATCAGGGGAGTATGATACTCCTGTGTAGTTATTGAACTAAGACCCATTAACTTCAATTATGAAGCCTTAATCAACCAACCAAACAGTATAGAAGGGTTTCTTCTGCTTCCATTTCCCCTCCTGCTTGCTCTGTACTATAACTTCTCATGTAGCAGGCTTGCTACAGTCTGTACTTAATATATCATGTTTGATATATTGCTGCTGCTAACAAGTCATCAAATCACCTCTTACAGCAACCCTATTAAGGAACTCCCTCCAAAATGTCTTGTCCTTGACAGCCCTGCTTAGCTCTTGTGCACTCAAATATGTGGCTTCCTTTGCGGAAGCAATCAATTTCCAAGTTGCTCATTCTCTGCTTCTTGTGCCTTTGATTTGCAATAATCTTTAGCATTATTGTCTTTTCCAATGAGTTGTGCCTTCTCATGATGTGACCGAAGTATGGCAGCTCCCGTTTTATCACTTTTGCTTCCAGGGAAAGTTATGGCTTGATCTGGTCTAGGACCCATTTGTTTCTGACGAGCTTTCTGTCAGTCCAAAAAGCTCATCCCCAGCACCATGTTTCAAACACACCTATTTTCCTCCTGTCAGCTTTTTTTACTGTCCAGCTTTCCCTCACATACATAGTGATTGGGAATATAATGGTATAGATGAGCATGTCCTTCATCCCCAGTAAAATGTTTTGATACTGATAACTTTTTCTAGTTTTTTCACTGCTGCCCTTCCAAGTCTCAGTCTAATATTTCTTGGTTGCAGTCTCCCTTTGAATTGATGACTGAGCCAAGGTATGTAAATTTGTTTACAATTTCAATTTATTCATTGTGGACCTTAAAACTGTAATTCTTCTGTAGGTATGATTTTTGTTAATGCTTAGCTGCAGCTCAGCTTGCTTTTTTACTGTTTTCTCTCACTTTCATCAGGAATCATTTTAATTCATTGCGGCTTTCTGCCAGTAATGCTATGTCATTTGACATTGGTGGATTGATGTATCTTCCACCAATTTTTTCTTTCTTTCTTCCTCAAATCCTAATCCATCTTTTCCATATTCATATATGTATTCATAGCGTATGAATACAGATTGAACAGATAGGAAGATAAAATGCACCTTTGCCTGATCCCTTTGCCTACAAGAAACCATTCTGTTTCTTCACATTCTGTCCTAATTGTAGCTTCTTCACCACAGTGTAGGTCACACATCAGGACAATCAAATGCTGAAGCATCCCCATTTTTTTCAGGACCATCCATAGCTTCTTGTGATCTACACAGTCAAAGGCTTTGCTCTAGGGCAACCTTCTTTTGAAATTCTGTGGTGTGCTCCCGTAGCCAACACATATTTGTGTATGATCTTTTTGAAATCCAGTTTGAATGCCAGGCATTTCTTGCTCTGCATAGAGTAAAATTATTTGTCAGAACAGCTTGAACATCACTTTGCTTGCGTGGGAAATCAGTGTAATTGCCCTGTAGTTGCCACACTCCTTAGCATCTCCTTTCTTGGGGAATGGAATATTAATTAAGCATTTCCAGTCTTTGGGCCATTGTTTTGCTTTCCATATTTCTGGTATATTCTTGTTAGGACTTGGACTGATAAAATCTCTGAAACATGGTTTCTTTTGGTACTCTGTCTACCCCTGGTGCTTTACTCCTTCCAAGTGTTTTCAGAGCACCTTTTGCTTCACTTTCTAATATTGCAGAGATTTCTCTTATAAAATACTTTTTTGGCCTGTTCAAGGGAAACTAAAACTTGTATCTTGCCAAATGCTGCCACTATATCTACCAATGACATCCGTATGTCCTGTGGAAAATCACAGATTCCCTATGTTATGAGAAACTGTAAATGGAGGAGCTAGGATTCTGCTTCAGAGTCCAGCTGCTTTCTTTGCAACATCAACTTGGTCTGGAGTAACAGGCAAATGAAGTGATATAAAGGTGTTAGAACCTTTTGTGGAAGAAGCTGGATCTAATATAGGCAGAACTTGTCTTCAGTTGAGCATTCAGAGCCATTAGCCTTACCTTTCTGTCCTGACATGGCTGAACCGGCCATGTCCTTTTCTGACTGGAGATGGTTAAGAAAGTGCTTGTCCGCTAGATTCCTGGGGTGGAAAACCCTTGTGCTTTACACAGGAGAAGGCAGAGAAGGAGACAGTGGCAGCAAACAAAGGATAGTGTTAAAGCTGATAGGGTCTAGTGAGTATTTGATTGATTGATATGCTTTCCATCAATCTGGATGTGAAGGTGGGCTCACAGCCTAGCTGAAGAACACATTCTGAGCCATTTTCTTATAGCTTTGTTTTTCTTCACCCTTTTGAGAGAGTGGCCTAAGCGAAATATATTTCACTCATTACAGTACACTTGCATGAGAATTACTGCTGTTTCCTTTTTGATTCTTACAGTCTCCATTTTGGATTCTTAGCCTGCCCTCAGAAGAGATGGCAAGAGGACTAATGAAGCGAACAGTCTGTGCAAAGTAAGAGTTATGCCTTAAAAAGTACAGTACAACCTTGGCTTGTGAGAATAAATCATTCCGGAAACATAGCAACATAGAAACAGAGCGAGTCAGAAGGGGTCTCCTGGGCCATCTAGTCTGACCCCCGGCTCCAGCTGGCTCCTCTCACGACATGCCCACCATGTGCATGTCCAGCCTATAAATATGATTGTAATCCAAAGCACTTGTATATCAAAGCGGATTTCCCCATAAGGTACAATGTAAATAAGGTTAATCTGCTCTGTAACTTTTTTTTAATCACAAAAATTTGAAGTGGGTGTGCTCGGGCGTGGAGGGGAGACAGGTGCGATCGCGGGCGGCTGAGGGGGAGGCAGGTGCACTTGGGGGGAGGTGGGTGTGATTGCGAGTGCGCTCAGGGGAGGCGGGTGCGATTGTGGGCATGCTCAGAGGTGGGAGACAATGCTGTACTCACACCCGCAGCGCAAGAGAGAAAAACTGCCACTCAGTTGTAGCATGACGCTCGGCAGGCAAAGCGCGCATAATACTCATACTGCTAGACATCGGTCGTTTATCAAGTTCAAATTTAGAAAAACTTTTTGCTTGTCTTGCAAAACACTCACCGACCAACTTACTTGCAATCCAAGGTTTTACTGTATGTTTGTTTTCCTTGCTGTCTGAGCAGTAAGCCTTCATTGAAGTTTTTCTTTCTCACATCTGCTGCATAGTTACTTGTGTTAAACCATTGAAGTAAATTTATAAAGGCTGTTTTGAAATGGTTGTGTTTATGAAGGTGTTGAATCTGGAGATTTCTAATGTTGCAGTGCAGTGCAGGTTTAGACAGAAAAAGACAGCCATGGGGGAATTTTAGGTCTTGTCTTTTAAATATGCACAGGATTTTTTTCCCCACAAGTGAACTAGCAAAGACGTTTAGGAATACAGTAAAACCTTGGACTGCAAGCATAATTCATTCTGGAAACATGCTTGTAATCCAAAGCACTTGTATATCAAAGTGAATTTCTCCATAAGGTTCCATGTAAATAAGGTTAATCCATTTTGTAACTTTTTTTTTTAAATCACAAAAATTGGAAGCAGGTGTGCTGTGGGGGGAGGCAGGTGCAATCACGGGCGCATTTGGGGGTGGGGAGACGATGCTGTACTCACCCGCAGCGAGAGAGAGAGAGAAGAACCGGCACTCAGTTGTGACGTGACGCTCGGCAGTCAAAGCATGCGTAATACTTGTACTGGAAGACATCGCTCATTTATCAAGTAAAAATTTAGAAAAACCTTTTGCTTGTCTTGCAAAACACTCGCAGACCAAGTTACTCACAATCCAAGGTTTTACAGTATATTCATTTTGCTAAATACAAACTATTATAACACTTTCAGATCTATATTTGAACTGTGGGGTTATGGGAAATCTGCAGAAGAACTGTACTCTTCACTGAAGAATTACCCAGAGAAGAAAATGGTTTGTATAAGAGCAGTCATTATTTTAGGGTGTGGGGTAGGGATTTGTTACAGTTGTATTAAATAGCACATTATGCTGTGTTCTCAAAACTGTTTGCTTTGATTTAGGGGCCGTATTTACAGTCTAACTTGACATACAAAATAATAGTTCATGCTTTTAACAAAACGTTAACACAAAGTGAGAAGATTCAAAGGATAGATGTAAGTAGACAGAATCTCTTGAAATACTACTTAAATTTGTGTTCTTTCATAGTACTGCATGGTGAATGTAGAATAGTGATAATTGACTTACCTAACATAGGCCCATTGAAATGAATGGGTCTTAGTAATTGTGCCTAACTTAAAGCTTACTCAATTCAGTGGGTCAACTTTAAGTAGCATTAACGTTGAATGCTACCCTTTGTCATGCAAGATTGTGCACTCATGTTGCAGTGTTGACTCTGAATTTATAAACCCCGTTAACTCCTCTGCAAGGCAGCCAGTGTGGGTCTTTCTGTGTCATCTGTGAGTGGGGAAGAGAAAAGGACTGGAGCTTCAATTTCCATCTCTGAGGTTGGACTAAATACTGAATTCCCCTCTGGGCCATAGGATTGCTCCCTAAAGCCCTTACTAAGCTTTTGGAGAAGTAGCTTGGCCTTTTAGATTGGGGAAAAAGCTGTACAAAGGCTGGGAAAGCACCAACCCATAAAAAGTGTGGGGAAGGGGAGCAGGGGCCAGTAGAAGGGAAGTGACCATCTGAGGATCATGGGAGGTCTGGAATGGGGACCTGGTTCTGAGATCTGCCAGTCCTGGCATGGGGAAGTTACCCGCCTAGACCTTTTCATCCCTTCAAGTCATGTAGGGGGGCTTTGCTGCTTCTGTATCTCATCTTTTCCATCATGAGTTCATGGAATAGGCTTCAGAACAGAGTTTGATCAGGGGTGGTGCTTATGAAAGATGCTATGCAAGAAATTTCCCAAAATTCTCCCTTCTTGCTGTTCAGTTAAAGTTGTGTGTGTGTGTGTTAAACAAAGGTCTTATTTAATGATGTCGTTGCTTTTCTCTTGCAGTTGTTTGTTTTGTTATTTTATTCTGTTAGAAATCAAAAAAATTAACATCTATATCACACCTTGGTTAACTTGTTGGATAGGCATTATATAAAATGAAATAAAGGTATACAATTACAATCTGTGCATACTTCTCTGCTAAGTCTTCTGCTTAATAGGTATTTCTTTTATTTATTCAACTTATATTCTGCAATTAAATTAGTCCCAAGGACTCCCTAAGCTGATCACAAAAAAGGTAGTGCCCATATGACATGTCAATGATTGCTGTTACTTGCCATACTGCTGTTACAAAAGGAAAGCAACAATAGCATCTTAACAGTGCTGTAGTTGCTGGTAATTTCTAACATAAATGTTTTCATTCATGTGTTTGTTCTTTTCTCCCTTCAACACAGTCTCTAGGATATTTACCATTTCAAGGAAAAGTGAATTTAAAGAATCCAGATCATATATTTTGGTTTCTAGAAGATTATGGAATGGATTCAAACAATGTCCCAGAACTGCCTGTTAATCTATATTTTGGGAGATGGGTGAGTAGATGGTTACATTGATAATCAAAACACTAGTTTTTAAAGGTGAGCTACAGCATGAGATAGATTTTATAGGTGAGAATAATGGAATAGTGGGACATAAGTACTACTTAGATTTTTTTTACTTTTATTGACCACTGGCTTTTAAATACTATAAGGAGCACCGGGCAGTTTACACTTGCATGCAATGCTTCTTTCCTGTTTTGACCCAGCACTGTCTAATGAAATCAAAGCCCCCATAACAAGGATAGTCAGGAAGCAGGTTGCCATCACCTGCTGTGCATCTGCTGGCTGCTGGATTCTTGTCGTTCTATGGTTTTGGTCTGATTTAGCATCATAGCTCTTATTTTTCTTGACCAAGAGTGCATACTCAGGATTGCTTAATAGAAGTTGGTCGTGTTTTAATTGTTAGAGAGAATTCCAAAGTATGCACTCTTGCTTTATTAGCCATACACATTTTGGTTGTACTTGGTGATGTTTGTATAAATGGAATAAAGTAGTAGATTGTTTTGGTCCTGACTTGAGGTCCCCAGGAACCTGCATTGGTGGCAGGAAAACTCTCCATTTCCTGACACTTCCCGAAATTTATTTTTACTAAATAAATGTTAGGGAAAAAAAGAAACGCTTCTCTTGTTCTGAAAACTGCTTTCATCAGCTTAGGGGACAGGCATAGTAGCTGTGCATGCAGAGCTTTACATTGAGTTAGCCTGCGGAGTCGCTTTTGCTAAGCTGGAAGGTGCAGGCCCACAGTCCTGTGGGCGGCCACGTGTGGAAGCAGAGCAGGAGCCTGAACTCAGTGGTCTTTCCAACTGGACTAGCGTTCCATTCTGAGTTGGTTCCTATATTGACCTTTCCCACACTTTTCTCTCTGTCTCTGCACTGCCACTTCTGTCGCTCCGCCATAATGCCTTTGTTATTTCTCTTTGTTATTTGTTTCTGTTTTCTTTCTTTTTCTTTGTTATTTCTGCTATTTCTCTTCCCCATTTTTCTCACTGCCTAGCCTCTAGCCTTCACCTTCATTCATTCATTCAACTTATATTCTGCTATAACTAGTCTGAAGATTCTTTAAGTGGACATAAAATAATATAAAATTTTGAAACACATAAAAGCAACATACAATAAAAAAGAGGCTATGCAGCTGATACTCATTTATCCCTCATTATCCATTTATCTTTCAGCTTCTTTCCACTCCCAGCCTTTAGCTTCACTATTTCGCTTCATTCTGCCTTTCTGTAGCTTCTGGCCTCCCTGTTCCGTGATATTTTCCCTCCCGCCTAGCTTTACAATTTCTTTCTTGCATGCTTTTCTCTCACATGTGCACATGCACACATACACAGAGACCCCTTTTGGCTAGCCAGGCCCCCACAGCAGCCTTTGGGTGATCAGTCACATTGCCCATGGGAACCATGTTCTTCATGTGCCACAACAGTTTCTCAGATTCCCAAATGTGCCCATTTGTCCAAACTGTTGGCGACACCTGGCCCAGTTAGCAAGTTATAGTGCTGTTTGTTTAAGTGCTCAATATTGTGACCTGAGATAATGTTTTGGGGAACAGTTGGGTTTTCTAAAGCAACATTCTTCTCAACTCAAATTTATGTCAGTAATGCTTGATCACCAAACTAAGCCATTCCTATTGCCTTTCTCTCCTTCCCTCAACCCCCCATGTATTCCTTAGATTGCCGATGGGCAAAGGGACCTTATTGAGTCATATAGTGTAAAAAGGAGACATTATATTGGAAACACAAGTATGGATGCCTGCTTGGCTTTTATCATGGCAAACCATGGGAAAGTAAAACCAAATGATGTCGTGTTTGATCCATTTGTGGGAACAGGTATATTTTTGAGGGGAGGGGAAATGACTTTTTGAACAGCCTGCGCATGCTTCATATTCAGCAATCCTGTATCTCTTCAGCTCTTTTCTGGCTATAGATCAGTTACATAAATACTTCTAACAAGTGGGAACAGTTTCTTTTGTTAAGATTACATTTATATGGAACAAAGCACATCTGATCCAAATATGGTTAGGAAGTTACCCATCATTCATTTGCTCTAAAAGAGTCTGTCATGTTATCCAAAGCATATTCCCAAGTTAAGTTGTTTATGGAATACAGTTAGTACCAGTTTTATTTTGCTGAATGTTCAAAATTATAGTTCTTCTTGTGTGTTGTATGTTACAATCTAACATTTCCCATCTTTGTTTTCGGAATTCATAGGATCCTGCTTAGCATCTAGAAAAATGCATGAACTTTAGAAATGTCACATGCGTTATTTTTCAGTAGAAGGTACACAGGCGGGAGTATCTATCAAGCATAGTTCTTGATTTTTTTCTTTTTTCCTGAGTGCTTCACTGCTAACAGGAGTTACACATATTCTCTTACGTTTGCTTACTTCGTACTACTTGGATATAACACAGTTCAGAGTTGGTTTTGGGAAAGGAAAAGCACATATATGAAAAAATGCAATCTTGCTTGCAGATTGGCATGTTCAAAGTAGGCTTTCTTCTTTACATTGTTCTGTAGGTGGATAGAAAACAAATCATTTTCTTCCTTTATTATACTTTTTTCTGATATGTCAGTAGAGGGCGCTTTAATCACAGTAATGTGAGTTAGTGTAAAAGGATCTTTTTGTGAAACACTTTTGATGTGAAATAAAAAATATATTACAGGGTAAGATATACAACTGTTACTAAGTTTGACATCAAGCTGAAAAGGAATTTTCACTAATATGAGCAGAGAAGACATTTTGGCAGAAGATATCAAAATATCAACGAGTGACTTCTCTAGGCCTGTAGCGATGCTCTAGATGTTTTTGAATTCCGCTCCCATCAGCATGGCTAGTGATGATGGGAATTGTGGCCCACCAGCATCTGGAGGGCCTACATTCTCCATACATGCTACAGCATTCCATGCTGAGTTCATGTTAGACCTGTTTCTGAAAGTAATACAAATCACATGTTTATTTCAATGTATTGTCCACCATTCACCTTAAAGTCCAGTGTGAGATACATACATATCAAAGACACAAAATAAAACCACAACCAAAAGCTCAATTCAAAACACTACAGTATGCAGGCTTACTACAAGGAGAAAATCTTTGTATCTTACATCCACTTCCACATTCCTGGATAAAGCTGTAAGGCTGGAATTGGTGGTGAAGCACATACATGACAGTGAATGAATGAGAATGAAATTGCACAATTTGGGGGACATCACAGAGAAGACCCTAACTTATGCTGCCATCCCAAAATGTCATTGTAGAGTGTGAATAATTACAGTCTGCCCTACTGTTCTTAGCTGGTCTAAAGGGGATCAGCTACTCTTTCAGATTTTTAAACCCAAATTGTTCTGGCATCTCTCCTTATTACTAGCAATGCAGCACAATCCTCTTAAAGCATATGATCTCAAAATAGATGTTCAGGCCAGAACAATGACAATAGCCTTGTCCATGTTACAAATCTAAACTTGTTTCACAGCTTTGTAGTCACCACTTGTTCATGTAAGGATTTGTATGTTCAGTTAAAGATGAAAATATTTTTGACAGGCGTCTTTTAAATAAAACTTCTAAAACAGGAATGGATAACAAAGACCAAAAACTAAAGTTAAGCACTTTCACATCCTTTTGTTTTCAAAGACATGCAGCTCTGTCTTGTTGAAGCCTGTAGCAGTTTAAGGGACTCACCTTTGACTGGAGACACTGCAAGATGTTTGTGTGTGGAGCTGAGCAGATTTCTGTGTTGTTTGCTCTGTAGAAAATCTCTTGAAACATCATACGTATGAACAAGAAACTTGTTTGGATACTATTAAAGAGTACTTTTAAATCTAGCCTGTTTGCCACAAAGTTCTCAGCTGCATCTGCATCAATTTGTTCCTTTTAGAATATGTTAGTCTCTGCAAGTTTATGGAACGTGTGAGTTTTTTCAGAGATTGCCTTCTGAAACGGAAAGGTTACAAGCCAGTGCTACAGGAAGATCCTGCACTATTTCAGCTTTGACAGTGTCTGTTTTATCACTCTTCTTTGAGAAGTCTCTAATGCTGAAGTTCCTAGTGTGCAAGCATTTCTAAGCCATCTCTTTTAACTTTCAGTTATATGTTCTTGCCTTAATGTTCTATTTCATGAAAAATGGAACCAGGGGGAAGTTTGTACTTGTTAAAATATCAAGGCAAAATGAATTGAGAGCTAGAAATCAAAATAGGTAACTTGATGACCCGATTCTGGGTGATTGTGGTTAGTTTTATCAAACCTGGCTCATGTTTTTGAACAATATTCAGATGTGCACTCTAGTTCCACAATATGACATGCATGCATTTTGTAGCTGTATTCTGAAATAGTTGCATTATTGGCCAAATGCCTACCTCATTTCTTTGTCTTGCAGGTGGACTTCTTATAGCCTCAGCACGCTTTGGAGCATATGTATGTGGAACAGATATAGATTATAGCACAATCCATGGACTGGGTATGCTCTTTTCATTGCTTTGCAGCGAGAATCTAATTAAATAGCATATGGTAGCAATTTAGTGTATTTAGGAGCAGCTACAAAATCTTGCAAAAGAATCAAAAGCTATCTTGCTCAAGCTTGGTCAGAGGCAGGGAGATTCTCTCACCAGCCCTGCATTAACCCTCCTCTGTTATCTTAGCTATGATAAACAGGCAGTTTACTACCGAAAGAAAAATGCAGGTGGATGCAGTACTCCAGATGGCTTGCAAGGAGCCATTTCTCCTGCTTATTCTTGACTTATATTGGAGTACATGCAGCTATTAGTACAGTACACATACTAATCATTTCACCTTGAGTGTCATGCTCAAAAATCCCACTAGACATGCCCAGGATCTTGGGAATATGTAAAACCCCAGCCTATATCAAATGTGTATATTTATTTTATAAACAGTTATATTTTGGTTTGCTTTTTTCAGCAGTTTTAGAAAAAGTTCTCAGGTTTTTTTTAGCCTTTTGCACTTACAATACAACGGATTTCCCTTTAAGACATCATCCAGAGCATACAAATGGGAAATTCTTTTGCAAAGAGTTTCCCATTTGTATGCTCTCTAGGCCTTGTGTTTAGGTGGACACTTTGATGCTCTGCTGATGTGCTGTGTAATCACACAAATACAGAACTCCATGCAAGGAGGTACACAGGGAAACACACATTACAGATCTGTATGGAGATTGCACATCTCATCAGGGAGAAGATGTATGAATTCTAATTTTACACATTAGTAAAAAATAAGGTGTTAGTTGTGCTTCCATTCCTGTTTCTTTGCATGTCTGAAGCTGAAACATTTAAAGATACACAGTTGAAATGAACTTGCCTGTTTTTCTTTCAGTTTCTTGAATGACTTACAGTAAGAAAGAAATACCTGCACTAATTATTTAATTCAATCTGGCACAACATTGATTTGTTTTGCCTTGCTTACAGGTAAAGCTAGCAGAAAGAACCAAAAATGGAGAGGACCAGACGAAAATATCAGAGCCAACCTTCGTCAGTATGGCTTGGAAAAATACTACCTTGATGTATTCGTTTCTGATGCATCAAAACCCATATGGAGGAAGGGGTTGCAGTTTGATGCAATACTCACAGACCGTAAGATGTGGCACAGCCTAAAATATGTACAGTTCATGCATGCAGTATGTAGCGATCACGGTGGAAGCATTTACAAGATGGTCATACAGATTACTGTCTGAAGTTAACATCATAAGGACAGCCAGACTAAAATATATGCTGACTGTCTGTAAGGAGCTAGTCAGGATTGTTCTTTAATGTTATTTATGCTGCTTTAAATGTATTTTATTTATTTTTATTATTTAAAACTTTTATATGCCGTCACCACATGCCTCGGCATCTAGCAGCATAAGGCCCTTTTTCTGTGAGTAAACAGAAAGCAGTTTTCCCTAATTGTGCCTCCTGTCATAATGGGACGTAAGGGTCATGCTGTCTAAAGTAACTGACATCTGGGAGTCATCATACTGAAGTTGGCAAGCATCCTATAGAATATGGCAGTCTACATTTTGATCATTTCCCTCTGTCTACTTGAATATAAATTCATAATGAGTTATCTGGACAGTTTCATTGTTTATTTGTGTCCAGTTTATTTTATGTTTACAATGAATGCTTATGTGCATTCATTGGCACTCACACTGTTTCCTGTAGCTCTTTCCTTTGGAAGCACTTTTTAATATCTGTCTCCAGGATGACTCCATCTGCATTTCGAAGCTAATCCTAATCCATTTTGAAAGTGCTAGTGATTTTGCTGCTGCTTAGTAAATTGTTTCCAAACTTGAACCTTTAGTTTGTACGCTAAGTTTTCAGCAACATGCTGCAGATGTCAGATGTTAATTGTTCTCACTCTCTAGTCCAAAAATAGGAGAGCTGGGTGGACAACTATACTGTAATGGCGAGGGAAGGAGGGGGAGCTACTAGACATCCCCAGTGCAGTGTCCAAGGCACCTTCAGGGATCCCTGGGAAGGGCTGCTTGGTATGGAACGCTCGGGCACCTGCAGCATTTTAAAAGGAGATCTTGATATGTATCATTGATGTAGCAATGAAGGCCTATGAGTTGTGCAAAACTTTCTAGTTATTATACACAGGCTTCAACAAAAGTGGGCAAAATATCCAGACAAGTAGCCATTTGAAGATGGCGTCATTATGCCACTTGTTCGACTGTTGAAAGCATCATAATGTTTTCTAGCCACTGCATTTTAGGAGGTGATGGTTTATCCTTCCAGTGATAGATTGAATCAGTTTACCTAAACATGTGTTAATTTATATGAAACAGAGAAATTACTTAAAATTGTACATATATCAGTGAATATTAAAGACTGTTCCATTAGAACATTTATCTGTAAAACCTCCTCCCAAAATAAGTAGCTACTGAGCATTACTAAAACATAAGTTTTATCCTTTTGCGTATTTGCTTTGATTTTGTTGAAACCTGTTTATAGCTGCTAAAAAATTGAATATATTTCATACAAATTCATGTATGTATATTTAAAAAGCTACAGAATGAAGGTGCTCTAGGACACCACATTGGGACTGCTCCATGGCTACCATTGGAAGTACCCACATGTGCCACAATGGAGCCTCTGGTGTTTAGGACTGGAACAGTAATAACTAGCCCCTTGAACTGGGACTTGGAGATAAGGATGTGGCACCATTGTAGTTGCTATAAAAATGGAGTTAACTCCTCCAGAAAGCTCTGGAAGCTCCAGATAGAACTCTTGTGACTGTTTTCTACAACAGGTGAAGTTTCTGAACATGAGTACAAATGGATAAGTATCTTAAATATTTGTTCTTTGCAGCTCCATATGGCATACGGGAAGCTACTAGAAGAACTGGGTCACACAAAGAAATGGCTAAAGTGACAGAGAAAGGGTAAGTAAACCTTGAGTTGGGAAGGGAGACATCTCAATACATAGTCAGTTTTGGTTTTCGAAGCGTTTGCTAAATATTCTAGACTTCTGCTGACCCACTGACAAATTGGAAAATCTTGTTTTAATCACATTATTTGCATGTAGTGGCCCATATCAGTACGTCTCTTGTGTTTTCTGACAGAATCTGGGGTTAGGAATTCAGCTACTGCATCACTCCTGTAGGAACACAGTGGCCAGAGCTATTAGCATTATCTTCTGCTACCAGTGCACATCTCGTTGCAATCATACACTAGTGGATAGAAGCTGCATAATCAGGACTTCTTAAAATGTAATTCCGTATTGCACATTATTGTTGTTTTATCTTTAAAATAAAAACACAGGAAGATCATTATCCTTGATTTAAACCTGCACCGATTGGTATCTCGTATTGCCATTTCTTGATAGAGGCCAAGGTAATATTGCCCTTTTGTATTAGAAAGCCCAGTGATAAAAATGCCTCGTCGTCCACCACTGTCCTGGCCCATCACACACAGTCATGTTATGTAGCTTTTTAAAAACTCTGTTTTCTGATCCATCTTCTGTTTTTATCTGCAGTAACTTGTTGACTCATTTTGCCCGACACAACAGCCCGTTGTGCTGACAGTCCACCTCCTTTTAGTGCAAAAAGTTCAAGTGAGTCACCTTCTAAAGGAGCTAGCATTTCGAGAGCTGGCTGTCAAACTGGTTCCTTTAGAAAGGGAATTCTTTGACAGGGCTTTCCTTGCTTGCTTCATATAGGCATTTGCAAGCATGAATGGATGCCTCCTTGTGAGGAAAAAAACACAAAACACTTTTAAAAGGAACTTAGCCACTAGAGTACACGGAACAGTGGGAAATGTGAGAACATCCTTCAGGCAACGGCATCTCCCCACACCTCTCAGAACAGAGGATCTTAATGTAAATCCAGCCAACCTGTTTGCACAAGGACACTTCAGTGACACCTTTGCTTTGGCCTGACAGTTCAGCTTTCACCAGCTGTCCAATGGGGTGTTGGTGAAGGCTCTTTGGAGCCCCTCAGTCAATTGTATTTCACCAATAGGTACCTTCTGGGACATCATCCAGACTAGACGTCCCATTTTTGGACCTCCATAAGTATGCAGGTGCACATGGGTGAAAGCTCCTCCCAACTATTTTTTTTCCAAATGTGCAAAAATATTTGCACATATTGTAAGTGCTGCCAAACCCCCCCCCCCAAAAAAAAACCTGGTTTGCAACCATAGACAGCTCCTCCATGGTGCTGCTTGGGCAGTTTGAAGTGGCTGTCCAAATGGGGATTGCAAAATCTGGCTCTCAAGTGGGAGGTTGAGCTCTTCCCTTACCAGAAAAGGGATAAGGGGGAGGGACATGCTGTGGTGGGTCAGAAATGGCCACAGTGACTGCAGGGAAGCAGCAGTCCAGAAGGAAAACCCAGGGCAGCACAGGACCCATGGTGAACCAAGTTGTCTGTCAGGCCCACTGTGGGAAGCTCCATGGGACCCATCCCTCTAGTGTTTGCAGGCTTCTTCTTCTAGATGCTGTCTTAGAAAGTGACCCAGTCCAAGAGGGAATCCATGAATGCTTGTAGAACAAAGGTTGTACAACCAGCAAACTTCTTCCATGTTATGTGCAGCACAGAAATGGCTGCTGCTTGTGACATGGAAGTGGGAGGCTGCTTGTGCAGTGGTTGTGCAGGGCTTGAATTCCAGAGTGTGCCACACAAATGCTGGGCATACTTGCTTAGACTCACAGCGGTAACGAACTGGACCAAACCCAGAGATCAAACAAATGGCAACCCCCAGACCAGATTCGTCACGTATCACACATTGCTGATTGACGCATCAGCAAACTCATCATGGTTTATTTCTGGGGTGAATTGCTGTGTTGTGTGGACTTGTCCATCTCATTAGCTTTTGAATTTCTATGAAGTTTTTGTTCCTCTGTGATCCACATTAACTTTCAGAAATTCAGATTGTATCAGAAATGTATTATTATTTCTTCCTCATTTTTAAAAGGTAGAAGATTATAGAAATAAGGAATAGCTTAGGCATTTTAAGTCTTTTAAGTGAGAGAGAGACTTGGCATTCCCAGAAAGGACTCTTAATGTTCACTTCTGTTCATATTGCAAAACCATCATGCCTTGTGTGAACAAATAGAAATCCTAACATAGCTTCTACAAATTATTTTAAACCTAGCACTGAAAATCACATTTACATTTCTTCAAATTACAACCTGAGTGACATCCTTTTCGACCTGTTAAAATTTGCATCTGAATACTTGGTGATTGGAGGAAGATTGGTCTACTGGCTTCCTGTGTACAAACCAGAGTATGTATTTTTTTAATTCCTCCAAAATTGAATGTTGTTGATGTGGATTAATTTGCACGATCACTACAGCTTTTAAGGACAAGTGGCTAAAAGAACTTAACACTTCCCACAGCCTGGTTTTGGCCTCTAGAGAATATTCTGACACAGTTAAAAATGCTATTGAAACAGTCTTCAGAAGACCCGCATGTAGATAAACTAGGAAGCTATATTAGCTCAGCATCAGACTGGTTTGCCCATTCGTCCTGTTATTCTCAACACTGATAGGCAGCAGCTCTCCAAGATTTTGAACAGCCCGAACTGGAGATCTTGAAGATTAATTTTGGGACTTGGATTCTGCCACTGAGCCATTCCCATCCTTCAAAGCTAGTGTCTTCCTCCTGTTAAGCTGTTTCCTGTTGTCCTCACTTGTGCTTATCATATAAATGTGATAGGTGTGTGGAAAGCCATAGATATGGAGCTGTCCTTAATCTTGCTGACAAAATACATTAGGTTTAAGAAGGCTGCCTCAAGATATAGTCTGTGTTTGCACTGTGTGTTACTGCATTTCCAGGTCTTCAACGAATGGGACCACTAAGGAATTGTGATGCCGCAGAATTTCATAGCCAGTGGAATAATTTTGATAGCTATTATTTCATCCTGCATGTTAGGCAACTCTCCTCTTTCTGGCTAACATTCTGTTGTGTAAAAACCATACTTTAGTCCTTCTGGGACGTGGTCAAATTTACTCAGTAATTTTTTTTAAAAAAAATCCCCCAATTTCAGCCTTCTGCCTTTCTATTAATCAAAGTAACCCTCAGGTAACAAACTCCCAATGTGTACATAAGAATAATTTTGTGGGGTACTTTTATAGCCCAAACAGAGGCACAAAAAAGATTTAATTACAGGTTATCTTATTCTGTTTTGAAAGCCAATAATTTGAGCTAAATCCCTCAACAAACAATTAGCATCTGTTGAAAGAGCTTTTTTATGCTTGTTTTAAATTTGTGAGCTAAACTAGGGGTATGCGGATGGAAGATCAATAAGCCAAGCATGTTAACTAGATTTTATTGTTATGCATTGTCGCAGAAAAGATTAGTTCATAAACTATCTGTCCTAGCTAGCTAAATCTGAAATCTATTCTGCTGATCAGATCTCCTGGAGGAAATATGCAGCCAAATCAAGGCCTTTTTGTGTGCAGCAACTGTCTTGCCTGAGGTACTTTTGTGTGGGGTCAAAAATGACCCCCTTTGTGTTTAATGCTGGGTTTCATAAAGATGCAGAGTAAAAGCTGAAGGTCAAATTTATGGGACGCATGTTATTTATCACATTTATATGCTGTCCTTCCTCCAACAGGCTCATGATGGCAGTAGTATATTTGCTGGATGGAGCCTGAAAAACAGCTAGGCTTAACTTAAAGGACAGTTTCTATTGAATGCTTGCTGGCAGGTAGCTTTTCATAATCACTTTAAACGACTTGGGTGCTAAAGTGTGAAAGAACCAACATGAAACATTCTCTTCCCATTTACAGCCAAGCTTTCACTTGCTCCATGTCTTTTGTTTTGTTCTCCCCCTGTGTTACACATGTGGCTATAGATTCTGAAAGCAATTAGCACACATTGTTTCTGTGAAATTTAATAAGACTATGAACCATGTGGAAGTGTATAATCTAACTTAGTTTGAATCAGCCCCTCTGGCTGTTCTGTTTTAGATTCATATACTACAGTTCATAAGCTCTCGTAGCCCTTTGACTGTTTATTTCTTCCAGATATACAGAAGAGATTATACCCCAACACCCATGTCTGAAACTTATTAGCAACTGTGAACAGACGCTTTCCAGCCACACGTCAAGACACCTGATAACCATGGAAAAGGTGAAAGAATTTGAGGTAATTGTTTTGAAGGGCTTGTAGTGCAAAATAGTGAATTTCAGGTTGGTAGCTGGTTTTTCTGCTGTGCAAACATGGGGCATTTACTGTAACAAACCAGCTGTTGTAAAGCATTTTTATATGTTGATTTATAAGGTTTATAAAATAGTTCTAAATGTTAGAATAAGGAAGCCAAGGTACTTGTCTTGCTACAACCTGAGCAGCAGTAATTGAAGGGAATTACGTGGTTTGATCTTTATGTTTAGGGGTTTGAAGGAGCGTCCGCTTGTTTTGCAAAAAACTTAATGCAGTGAGTGGCTTCTTGTCCTAGCTTTGATATTTTGATTTTGAGGTGCTTTGCAGCTGTAGTTGAGGAAGTGTTCATTTCTCTCTTAATATTCAGGACAGTGCAATTTTATATTCTGTCTCTCTGTGCAGTTATGCTCAGGTGCAAATGATTTGCACAAAACCAGTTGTATGTGTGCTCCTGCACTCTCTGCTATCAAATGCAATCTGCTTTTCAATGCACCTGCATAGCTGCTCAAATGATGCCTTTTTCTGTGCACCCTGTCATGTGAACTTTGCAGACGGCACCAGTTTAAAACAGAAAGCCTGGCTCAGGTCTGGAAAGGGAGTGCAAGGGAACACATCAGTGTATTTCTGATGAAAGATGACCAAAGTCAACAATGACTTCCAGTACATTGGTAGTGAAATGTTGGTAGGAATGTATTAGAATTTCACTGCTGTTCACAAATCTTGCAGGCATGTCCCATTCCTGAGGCTGAATGTGTATGATCTGGAATGCAAATCTCAATAATTTTTTGCAATTTCTCAAACTTATGTTTGCATTAGAAAGGGTGCATTTGCAAACATGCACACCTCCAAATATGTGAAAGTGTGCACTTGGGGATTTGCACAGATTCCCACCAAATTTGAATTAGTATTCAGATTTAGTCTAATGGGATAACTGTACATTTTTGGGGAAGGAATGGGAAGATTCTTGCACTGGGAATGGAGGCAAAATATCTTTTGAGAAAGAGTTTGAGAATGTCATCAGATTCAAACATTACATGTTCATCCATCCCTAGTGTATAGTCATGTATTTTGTCTGGATTGATAGACTAGATTTGAGTTTTTCATTACTTAAAACCTCCCATTAACTATTTTATGAACTTTAAGGCCATCTGAAGGTGACACCCAATGCGTCTCTGCCTGCAAGGTCTCTGTGGTGGGAGCAATACGGAAAACACTGAAGGCCAACTTTAGGATAGCTTTCTTTTATATAACAGAGTTTTGTTTTTGCAATACACATATTACAGATCAAAACAATCAACATCTAAGTGAAAAAGAATATAACTTCATAAATATTAGTAAAGATATCCAATTGAATTATCATCGAGCAATCTCAAATCAATAAACTAAACCACTTTCTTATTTCTTTCATAGTAAAACTCTATGCATGTTTTCCAGTAAGTGTGTCTTGGATTGCAGCCTTGCAAAAACCTCTGTGTATTAGTACAGGATGAGATCTGACAATAGGCGAATTCCTCACCTGAGCTCCTTACACGTTTTTTATTATAGCATTAGGGAGTTTCATTTTCCTGTCAGGATAACGTCTCCTTAGCTGATGTAAGAGCACTGAAAACTAGGGCACATGCTTACTATTCTCTCTTACTAGTGCTGCATCTATTACTATTAGTATGCCTGTTAGTATTAGTATTTCTTCCTTTTCCTCACATGCAGTATACAGAAACTTAACGAGGATCATTGAGTTCAAGTAGTTTGAAAAAATCTGATGTGGTTTCACCTGAACATAGATATATCGAAGAGGGGTTCTGCAGCTAGCAAGCCTTCATTTAATATGATGTTGGCCACTTACCTGTGTTTATCTCATGCCTCCAAGCATTGATTCAGGTTGTTAGGCCAATATACAGTGTTGGGTAAATGTAAGACATAATAAAAAGATGAAACGCGCCATTTTGGTTTTTCTAACAGTCTATTCAGGTAAGCACAAAAGTGTCAAAACTGCCTGAAGGCCTGAAAATACTGGATTTATTCACCATTCCGCATTTCATGCAGTAGCACCTTACTAAAAGTGAATGGCCTTACCTGCATGAGCCGCAGTGCTTCCATGCTAGCTTTTCACCAGTTACCTCTGTGGGCATCAGAGCATTTAAGCATAATAACTGACATTTGAAATGCTGTACCATTTACCATGCTGTGAATTCTTCCATCAACTTGGCATCACATGTAAATTAAACTCCACTGCTGGAAAGTTAATGCCCAGTGAAAAACAATGAAGGAACTATATTGCTTTACAGATAGGCCGCCTCTGTAGCAATGAATGGAAGAGTCACATGTAGTGGGTTTAAGTGCCTTCAAAAGTATGAGTGTGTCTCTTTGAAGTTGGTGTGACAGCGCTTGCTTTAAATGGCCGTTTTGAAAAGGAAGGAGAAAAAGTTAAAGTTGTGCAAAATCTGTTCTGTTTTATACATGAAGTTATCACTGATTATGTAGGTGCTCTTCACATGCTGAATTATGTATGTGTATTAGGGATACAAAAGACAAGATCCAAAAAGTCAAACTCCAGGATATTCTCATCCTATCTCGGTACCTCAGATTAAAACGAAATGTCAAGCGATCCTTGGTGCGTTCTCAGTTGCATCGTGGCACATTGCAATTGGAAGGAGACTCCAAAAACCAGCAACGTATTCAAAGAGGTCCTTTTGATCTTGCCAGAAATATGGTGTATTTAGACGTAAAACTAAGCATCTGTAGAGTTGGTAGAATAACTTTAGTTTGCTTTTATCCATCATACCAAGCTGCAGATTCAGTGTACACTGTGCAGAGACCAGTATTCCTTGCCTCCTCATAATAAGAAGTTGCACTGAACCTGACAGGCAAATTAAGCTCAACAAGGAGTTGAAGAAACAACTCTCATCATTATAATTTGCTGTTTATGTTACAACTGCAGGACCATCCAAACATTTCTTATATATTTATGCACGCACACCCATCCAGATCACTCATTTCCATACTGGCATAATTTGCTGGTGACCTCGTCCTACTGCAGTTCTCACAGAAAGCCATCCCGAGCAAGTCTATTAATAATTTTTGGCTAGTGGTTGGTTTAGTCTCAGGCTGTAAATATGATTTTGAGAGAGGGGTTTTTTGCCGTCTGGATCTGTATTTCACTTTAAAATTGTATCTGTGTTGATTCTTCAGTTTCTGAGATCTCAGCACAGCTCAGCATATGAGAGCCTGTTATTAGGGCAGGAAACACATAATAATCTTCTCTTGAGAATGTTTGACTGGCAGGTTGAGTTTCCTTTATGCTCTGCTTTCTCTTAAGGATTTACCCGCATAATTTTCTTCTGCTGACTCTAACTTCTCAACAGATGAGTTGTTTCAGAAATCAGATTCATAAGCATGTGGGATGTAAAGCCTGAAGATATGTGTGTGTTTGCATATTTTGCTTCCTTAGTGAGCTTTGTCTTTTCATTTGAGCTCAGGCATAATTAAGAGGAAAACTGGTTTAAGGAGTGTGAATGATCTTTTATGAGTAACGGGCAAGTGTGTGTTTGTATAGAGAGATGTATGCAGCAATACTAGTATATATTAATAATGGTCAATCATTTAATTAAGAACTTGCATTCTTCTAAAGAATAACTTATTCTTAATATATGCATTGGAATGGCTGTTCTCCCAAAAAAGTGATGAAAATTACAGTGTAAAACAAAATTCCTTGTACAGAAATTGGGTGAAGCACTGAAATTTGTACAAGTTTCTTTTGTTGGGTCTTACTTTGTCACCATTTGATCTCTTTTTAAAAATGCTTTGTCTTGTTTTATGGATATAAAACAAAGAAGTCTGTCTCATGCCAAACATTTGTGTGGGAGTCTGGCAGGAAATGTGTCCAAATGAGTCCGCAAAACCAGCTTGCACACATGTGGCCAGTGTGCCCACGGGTTCTGCTCTTGCACATGCAATTCTCAGGCTTTGCGTGCCTTGCACAAACAATCGTGTACTTTGCATTAAGAAGCCACTGGCATTCCTGTGAGGTTGTGGACTTGATCTTGGCTCAACTTGCTTCCTGGCCGAGGCCAAGCACTGTACGAAGGCCTATAAGAAGGCTGAATTCCAGCATGATCTTCACACCCCTAATATCTTACAGTTGTCACTCCACTAAAGAAGACATTCACCAACAGGACTGGGAAGGATCTATTTTCAGTTGTTCCCTCACCCCCTGTATCCCCATGTACTCCAGGGGCATGGGGAGCCTCCAAGTGGGAAGACCCTCCTCCACTGGCATGGGGATACAGGGAAGAACTGGACTTACCCTATGAAGAAGACATATGAATGAAATCAGATTTACATCTCAGGCCAAAATCATGTATAAAAAGTATCTGATGGTGCAGCCAAATGGCTGGAAGGACTGAACTGTGATTAGGCCTGGTTTTGAATTTTGCCAGAGTACTGAATTCAGTGGCATTCATCAAGGACTCTACCAGACTGTACTTTTAGGTGATTGTGGGACATGGGATATTTGTGACAGTAGTGATTATAGCAGAGTCCATCTGAAATGCCTGTTTGAGAGTGCAGCGGTTCTTAGAATCGAGCTATAAGCATGTTTTTCTGTTTCCTTTTGTTCAACATTTTTGCATCTTCTGCCCTAATTCTCTTGGGAGAATGTGTCAATATGTAAACAGTCTATTTTCCTATCCTATAGGAGGAAGACCGTGATTCCTGCATATTAGATAGCCAGTATTTGCCATACAAAAGTTATGATTCCTTTCGTGAGAAATATTTCAGTGGAGTGACAAAGAGGATTGCCAAGGAAGAAAAAGACAGCCAGAAATGATTTTTTTAAAAAAGAAAAGAAAAGATTGAAAACAAAGAACTCACAAGGTTTGCATTAAAACATCTGGATCTCAACATTATATGGATGCTTCAGAGAACAAATACTGTTTTTAATTTTTTTTAAACTCAAAGGAAAAACCACAACATAAGTTAAGAACAGTTCTTTTTCATTAACTTTGTTTATACCAGATTATTGCACAAGGTTTTTTGACTCTAATTTATTTTTGTACTTCAAGTTCTAATGATAATTGACTACAACCTTTATCACTATTATTCTTTTTAGCTCATTACCTCTAGGAAAAACTAGTATTATTGTTTGGCTGCTTAAACTGTGAACATCTGGGAAACTTAAATAGACATAATATAATGATTTTTTAATTAGGAAGATTGATTTAATTTGTTTTCTTCTTTTGTGCGTGTGTGTGTGCACATAAAAAATCAGGAATTGTGATTTTTAAAAATTGTGTTGCATGCAGCAATAGCATATTTCTTGTGGGCATGTCTAGGGCCAGACCTGTTCATGCCATCAAGGATTCAGAGTCTAAACTTCATGAGTCTTGTATCTGGAATTCACTAGTATTTTGGACCTACTATCACTTTCAATTGCTGCTGCATCTGACAGACGATTTTAGATAATTTTAAATGATTTAGATAAATAAAAACATCAGTAAAATCTTCTAAAACTGTGTTTGCATAACTACCTTGAATTCTATTATTATAAAAAGGCACAATATCAACATTAGAAATACACATTTTCTACTCTACTGCGAATACATCCTACTTCTCCTAAAATAACTGGCAAATGTCCTTTACTCCTTAACATGTAATATGGTCCCCCATTGAGAAAAAGGTCCTCAGCCATGGAGCGGGCTGTTATCCAGTGGAAGCTCTTGTTCATACAAAATGGCGGAGAGTGACTTTTGCCAGTTTCTCCCCTTCCCCATATGCCACCTTCCACTCTGTTTTGGAGGTTTTATCAGTCTTACAGAGTACATTTTCAGGAGTGCAAGGGGTGGTTGGGGGAAAGTGGAATATCTTCCCATAAAAGGGAATCCATTCATGGATCCAAAGCAAGCAATATGTTAAAATGGCAAAATATACATACATAAACACGCACACCACCAATGTCAGCAGATTTAAAGCAAACCTAAAAAAAGTTCTGAAAGGCCTGGACAGATAACAAGATCTGATGCCAAAAAGACACTGAGACTGATGCCAGTTGAATGTCCCAGGGGACAGCATTGCAAAGATGGGGAACTCTCACTGCGGAGAAGCTGTCTTAGGTTGCCAGACACTTCACTTCAGGGAAGGCTGGAAAGAGGCATCAGTTACCAGTGTTGACACCTGTGAAGGTTCATGGGGAAATATAGTAGTTTATGGTGTTTCCCCTCCCCTAAGAATCTGATAGTACTATTTAGTAAATGTTAAGTCTCAGCATACAACTGGAATTGTAGGTGCCATTTGGTTGAGACACCAATCTGGATGGCATAAGTTGACATGCAAAATATGTTTTACTACACCGGGCCATCCTTTCTGGTTTGTCAAACAATAAATTTTCCAGAAGTCAGCAATTTATCTTTTCGATTTATATCCTGCCTTTTTCCTACAGGGCTCAAGGCAGCTTACATCTCCTCCTCCATCTTATCCCCACAACAACCACCCTGTGAGGTAGGTTGGGCTGAGTCTGTGACTGGCCCAAAGTCACCCAGTTGGCTCCATGACTGAGTGGGGACTAGAACCCAGAATGTCTGAGTCCCAGTCCCATGCTCTTAACCACTACACCACACTGGCTCTCCAGCAATCCTTTTGTTTTTCATAAATCTCTTGAAAATCAGAAAGCAGAGTTCCTTCTTTTTAACCCTACTTATCATTTGTCCATCCTGGATACACAAGGTCAAAAAGGAAACATTCAGCATATAAAACCCATGTAGGGATCAGCAGCAGCTTCAGTGGAGAGATCGAAAAATCAAAACTTACACCTGAGGTCCACCTTAAAAAGATTTTAATGCAGCTCCTGAAGTAAACAATGAGGCGGTCTCCCTTGCTTTTCTAAAACAGCAGTGCCACTGCAGAAAAAGCCCTGCTTCGGACATCTATAGGTTGTCTCTTTAACTTAAAAAAAGAAGGTACCTGTAGCAGGGCCCCTCACACTGAATCCTTTCAAACTCTCTGTGACTGCTTGCCTCCATTAGAGATGGAGGGGATCTTTTCCTGCCAGAATCTGGTCATTTGCTGCAACAGCAGAGGGGGGTTTTGGTTCCTTATAGCCAAACTGACTCCAGCCTGTGTTACATTCCAGTCTCTTGCCCCTGGCGGAGACCGTCTGTTCAGAAGCCTGCTCTGAAATCATTGTCTCTGACAGTTTTTTGGGGTGCTTTGAAGAGTTTTCCAGTGTTTTAAAATATTATTTTTGGACCACTTTTCTCTTACCACTCTTTTATTGCTGCAGTATGCAAAAGAAGGATAGAGATATGACCTTGTTCGCAGAGCAACAGATGTTAGTATGGTTTTTTGTTCTATTTATCAGGACAGCAAAGTGTATACAGAATCATTACACAATTTTCCTTAGCTAGGAAAAGCTGGCCCTGTAGTTGCTTGGGAACATGTGCCTTCAAGCTCTAGTGCAATTAGAAGGTGAGTGTAACAATTTCAGGGTTATCGGACCACAGTGCAGGTCCTTACTGCCCCCGGCAGACGCATACCTTCCCAGGACAGAGTGCCCGGGAGGAAAAGTTTGAATGCAAAGCCATCTATGCAAGGTTCTGATTGGCATAATCCTAATTCAATACAAACACATTAACTTGCATCAGGAAACTTGCACACAAACACCAACCCCAATTCCTAGAACAGTTAGGCAGTTTTAAAATGGGATGAATTAATACAAACCTTCATGGAGTGTGTCTATTTATTTAAAAGTAAAGAGTTTATTCCTCTCAAACTGAGAGGAAGAGACAAGATCGGCAGTTCAACCATGCTTGGGAACTCTGCTTTTATATCCTATCTTCAGAATGGATCCTTGGAAGGAAGGCATTTCAACAAGAAACTCTTCATGTACTTTCCCCGTGTCTCTTGGTTGTAAGTGGAGTAGGCAAGCAACAGAAACCTGTTTGCTACCTTTCTAAAACTTAAATCATATTTCAAAATTCATTGTTGAGGTAACACTTGCTGAGGTCTGCAGTTTGATGGACTTTCCATTGGGCCCCAAATTTCAGTTTCTGAGAACAATTCAGGGGGAATTGAGAGGTCTGTAAAGCAGCAGATATGATACTTTGGTGCTCTTTAGTGTGTAATTCTATAGATTACTTATGCTAAAGTCACATTGGATTCCAAGAGCCTTCCAAATACAGGGAGGCTTGGACAGCTTATTTGCCATTTTTTCAGGGGAAAAGAAATGTATTTTAAGATGACTTTATTAAGTATACCGGCTCCCCAAATGGCCATGCTCCCTCTTCTGTCCTCATCCAGTTGTTGTTGTTGTTTTTTCTGGTAGCCATAGATGTTTTGGTGGCTTCCTGGCATTCGTGCAGATTTTTCCTAATTCTAAAAGTGGCCCCAGAAACTTCTCTGGGATGAATTTCAGCTTTCAAGGTGAAAGAGGTTTTACACCTCTGATGTAATGTACTCTGATTGTCCTGCCATTTTAATTGTTCATAGTTGCTTCTCTTGAGCTTACATTTCTAAATGTCAAATATCAAGTTTGGCATACTAAGGGGTTGAATAAATAAGGAGACCAGTAATAAGAAAGGGTTCAGTGTCTTTTGTTCTTTCAGAATATTGGTGTTCTCCAGGCGTATTGTGACAAGTTACAGCTTGAACTGGTTAACGACACTAATTTCATCCAGGGAATGATCTGTCAAAAATGCAAAGGCAAGTAAAGGGGGTTGGATTGACAAATTGCTATTATGCAAAAACAAAAGTGGGGGTTGTTCATAAATTTAAAAGAAAAACGCAAGTTTTTTCACCAGTCTCTGAACATGATAGACAAAATACATGTTTTGAAATTAAATCTGATTTTTAATTTAGCGTTAAAACTAATGGAATGCTATTGCCAAGGGCCTTCCTCTCTGCCTCGTTTTAAACACTTGTTTTTCTTACATTTGGCAAAATCAGTGACAAAAATCTTTCCAGCTGTGAATATGCCAAATGGCTTTTTCTGAAGCTCCTACTCATTGGATTAAAGTAAATGTTTGGAAGCCTCAAACGGCAATTTTGGCAGAAGAACTGCTGAGGCCTTGTAGTGTCCAGTACTCCCACAACTCTTGTTTGCCGAGGCAACATGAGTAAGCACAACATAGGCTGTACTATTTCTGCTGTGCCACTGGAAGACTTGTCTCAGTGGAATGGGGCATACCATGCTTTTCAACAAGACCACTCTTGCAGCACCCTATTCCCAACCCCAGTTCTGCTCTGGAGGGATAGGAGCAGATTTGGGGTGGGAGTGGAATGTTTGAAAATCCCTTTTTCACTAGATGGAAATTAGTTGCATTCCACCCATAATCTGATCATCTCATTTGTAGCTGTATCATCCCCTTAGGCTTTGAAATTCTATGTCTGCAAAAGATCCTTGATTTTTAAAATCAAAATGTGCACAATTACAAAACTCATCTAGAAACAATAAGGGCTAAAGGCATGGAATATTACCTACTGCGCCTTCACCATAAATAATGGATTTTTAAGTTTTACCGTTGTCATTATTTAATGCCACTTTTGATTAAGAGTAGCATCATCTAAAAAGTCCCTTTGGGAGATTATAGGGTAGATTGAAAAGAAACTGGCTGTCTACATTTTTGCTGTGGAAGCAGGAAAAGGAAGAAACAGCTGCAAGTATTCCTCTTTCAGCAGCAAAACAAAGTATTAAAGCAAACTGACCTCTGGCAATGGTCCATATACTTTTCATTTTGCAAAAAAATTCTTAGAAAAGTTTGTAGGAACAGCCTAAAAGGGTGTCTGACCTTGCCTCTTATCAATTTGCATTAAAGAACTGTACCATTCCGAGCCCTGAAATAAAATAGGTAACTTCCTCTTAAAGCGACAACAGTTGCAGGTTCAAAGGATTCTTTACAACCAATATCAGTTCCATGGTATGTGGCATAAAGAGCAGAACCTTATTTGCAAAAACCTCAAATTCTCCCTTGGGCTTACAAAACCAATTGCATTTTTGCAAAATTGATCCTGGCTTAAAGAGCTTAAATTTCCTTTACAGAGTTTTCATGTGAATGAGTTGTGAAATACTTCACATATTCAGCAGCTATGCAAATTATATCTCTATTTTAGGCTTCACCTTCCTGAAGGGCTTGTACAAATTCTAATAAAAAGTGCTGATGGGTAGTTTAGATACAGGCACCAACTACCCAGTTATGATTTAGTATGATTTTACTAACTTGTAGTACCACTTTGGTGACCTAGGCATTCAACTTTTTCACGTTTGAGATACAGCCTTACAAGTTTGTGACTGGTAAGAGAAGAGACTGGAAGAGACTTTGTCTCCTGTGCCTTGTGCTGCTGCAGTTGGCTTGCCAGCAAAGATTTCTCAAGGCAACCACACTGGGTACAGCTGGTGGGATGAAGAACTGAGGAGAACTGAAGAACTGGTCAAAGGAATATTCAGGCATGGAAGTAGCATCTGCCTGAATAAGAAAGCATCCTATGGAAAGCATCCTATGGCCAACGATGCTGTCAAGAT